TATAACTGTGTAATCTCGGGCTTCTTATATGTTTTAGGGCCCAATTTCAAAAGTAAGACATTCATGAGCTTATGATAAAAAAAGACATTCATGAACTATTTCCTGCCCAGGAGAAGGTTCTTTTGTGAAATCCAGATACTATCTTTATTCCTTTAGTTTTGTCAACTACCTAGAATTTGTTAGGAAGGATCACGAAAGTAGAGAAATGATTGCATTTTTTTTCCTTTCTGTAATGGATTGTACATAGTATGTATTGTCTAGGCGTTGACAAACTATGATAAAGTAGTAAATATAGACCCCTTAACATATTTATTATTAATTATAGTTGTTTTACAATCGTCTTCTTAACACCCATGATGAATTTCTCTTGCGTATCTGTTATCGAATTTCAACACATCACATGCATGATCAGATATGAATTTTTCACTCTGAGATCTTGATCAACAACTATCTCTGATCTGGTTTGGCAAGTTGGGAGACTTGTACAAACGATTCAATAAATTTGGAAAAGTAGACATAAGTGGGCCGCCATTGGGTAAAAACTGGGCTCACAGTCTAAAGTATGTTGTCATAAAGTCAACCTCTTTTCTTTGACATCAGTCAACAACCTCTTAAAATAATTTGATTTTAGCTATTATTATTTGACAATTTAATTTAATCCCGTATGTTTTTCTGTTCTTTTTTGTTCATACGTTTATTAAGTTGTTTGTATTTTCGTATTAATGTTTTCTTACAAATGAAATCTAGCAGTATCTATGTAGTCTTTATAAGTTTGATGTATAAGAACATCTTTATCCCATGTTGATTAGAGAGTTGTTTATGAAGAGAAGGTTGCTTAATTTGAAGAGAGAGAGTGTGAAAATTGCTTAATTAAGCAATTTTCACACTCTCTCTCTTCAAATTAAGCAACACTCTCCTCCTAAACAACTCTCTAAGCAACATGGGATAAAGATGCTCTAACCTGTCTATACTATACTAATATTATACTAGATCATAAATTTTTCTTCGTTTTATACCATTTAGATCTATGTTGAAGTTTTTAATGAAAATAATTATAAAAAGTTGGTGTAAATTAACTAAGTCATTATTACTAGTTTCAATATTTTCCATTGATGTAGATACTTTAAAAAGAGAAGAAAAAACTTTCTATTGGTCAAAATGATTGGAGGAGACTTTGTCATATTCTGTTCTGTGGATGAAAACGATTTATGTAATCCTTAATAATGCTAAAATTCATTATGCCAATTTTTCCAATAAATAAAGTTGGAGACTATATATTGAAGGTACAGCAAGACCGCAGTCTTTCAACGTCCCCCTACTTTAATCTAATAGTAATTAATAATGGTTTAGCGTTTCGTACTTTTGACCTGTCTTTATAATTAAAAAAACAAATAAAAACATATAAACCAAAGAAAGANTAATAATGCTAAAATTCATTATGCCAATTTTTCCAATAAATAAAGTTGGAGACTATATATTGAAGGTACAGCAAGACCGCAGTCTTTCAACGTCCCCCTACTTTAATCTAATAGTAATTAATAATGGTTTAGCGTTTCGTACTTTTGACCTGTCTTTATAATTAAAAAAACAAATAAAAACATATAAACCAAAGAAAGAATTTTAGGAACGATAAAAAAAGAGAAGACAGGTCAGCGAGGCTTTAGGTAGAATACTGAAACGAAGAAACTGGTAGCTAGAGAGAGCAGCAGCAGAGACTAGAAGACGAAAGAAGAAGTTGAAGATCTTCATCTTCTGTAATGAAAGGTTCTTACTTTCTTCATTATCAGATCTCATTCTCGTTACCCATCTGAGTAAATAAAAACCCTAGCTTTCCCCAATTCTCTCTCGCTTTGGCATTGAATTTGATCCTCTAGAACTAGGTCTTACACTGTTTGATTCATCCTTACTCTTGTCTTTTACTTCGAATCAGCACTAGCTTTAGTGATATGATAGACTTGAGAAAGACCTCAACTTTATATTGAATTGAATTTTACTTTGTGACAGTGCCCTATTTAACTTCAAAATTTGAAAGCTTTATTGATTCTTCATTCTCACTATCTGCTTTAGATTTGTTCCATTTCGTCCCATTACACGAATAAGTTAATAGTAACAAAATTTTGTATATATACATATGTATCAATAGGTTTTTGTTACTATTAGAACCGTATGTTACTGTTCATACCCTAAGACTGTTCTCTGTAATAGAAAGATTTATAGCAAAGAAGACAGTGGCAGGTTCTGTAATGATTGATTAGAGGATGTTATATCTGTATTGATTCTTCATTCTCACTACCTGCTTTAGATTTGTTCTCTTCTCTGTTATTGCAAAGAAAGTGGCTAGGTTCTGTAATGATTGTTATTAAAACCTTTTTGAAATCATTTCCTCTTACAGGTAAATCTCCAGACCTTGAATCTACTGGGTCTGGTACAACTACAAAACGATCAAGCGTTTCATCAGGAAGTCGTTCTCGTGTCCGACGAGATTTCCTCACCAGGTTTACTGACAGCGAGCATTTCACTGACAAGCTTGAAGATTGGTATGCTTTGTTACTACAGAACTCAGAGAGGGATGGACCGGTTTTCGAGGCTCCTTTTGAGCTTGTGGAGCTACAAAAGTTCGATTACGCGCTGGAAGGAGTTTCTTTCCAGCAGCTAACTCGGATGCCTAACGCTGTTTATGCTTCAACCTCTGCTTCTGTTGAGGCAAATGCGTATCTAGCGATAGAGGATTTTTTACACGCTACTGTTAAGAGCCTTTGGGAGGCGTTTTGGAGTCTGGACGAGCCTGTTCCTTTCTCTGTGGGTTGTTTGTATAATCAGAATCTGAAGTTTTATCAAGCTGAGCAAGCCTTAGCTCTTGGGAAGCTCGAAGATCTTTCCGCAACTGGTGTTCTCCTGAAGAATCCACGTCATCCACACGGGAAGTGGGATCACATTCTTGAGCTTGCTCTTCTAAGGCCTGACATTGAGAGTGATCATCAACCTTCGTTACATGTCTTAGGGGAGGCTCTTTTCTATGCTTTACGTATACTCATAGCAAGAAGTGTGAGCCGTTTAGATTTCTCACAAAGCTCAAACTGTGTCTTCATCCTTCTCGTTGATACACAACACGGTGGCGTTGTGAGAGTTGAAGGGGACGTGAGTAGACTTGATTTCGACGTGAACAATGTTTATGACTGCGCTGCGGAATGGGTTCAGAGCCATTGCAAGATCTCAGTGTCGCCTGTTGACAGGATATGGAATAAGCTGGGGAATGCAAACTGGGGAGACATTGGTGCTTTGCAGATAGTCTTTGCAACTTACCACAGTATAATGCAGTATTTTGGGCCACCTAGGCACTCCATTGAAGACTTAGCTGCTGACCATAGCTCTCGACTTCACTCAAGACGACAGGAGAGGCACTTGGGGGAGACTAGTCTCAGTGAAGAAGGTATGTTTAGGTTCCAGCAAAGAACCATGTCTCCTGAAATCGTCGAAGTTCAAGAAGAATCAACCAATATTGAGCCTGAAGGGTCTATGAAACTTGAAGTTGGATCAGTTCTGTGGTTGGAGGATTCAAACTATCAAAAAGGCTATCAGATTAACCAAGTGTTGACTAATGGAACTCTTCCTTATTGTATCGCATCACCAGTGGATGACTCAGGGAAGTCTGTGTTTCTCTATGTTGGTTCTCCTCCTTCACAGCTTGAGCCAGCTTGGGAAGACATGAACTTGTGGTATCAGGTACAAAGACAGACTAAAATATTAAGCGTTATGAAACAGAGAGGTCTTTCTAGCAAGTACTTGCCACAGCTCCATGGGTCTGGTCGGATCATACACCCAGGACAATGTCAGAAACCAAGTTCAGGTGGGCGATGTGATCATCCTTGGTGCGGAACTCCCATTCTTGTGACTACTCCCGTTGGCGAGACAGTAGCTGATTTGGTGAATGAAGGCAGGTTTGGACCAGAAGAAGCTATCAGATGTTGTCATGATTGCTTATCTGCACTATCTTCCTCCTCTTCAGCTGGTATTCGCCACGGTGATATCCGACCAGAGAATGTAGTTTATGTTACTTCAGGGGTAAGACATCCTTACTTTGTGCTCATTGGTTGGGGTCACGCGGTGCTCGAGGACAGAGATAGACCAGCGATGAATCTTCACTTCTCCTCCACTTACGCACTCCAGGAAGGGAAACTTTGTGCTGCCTCAGATGCAGAGAGCTTGATTTACATGCTTTATTTCTGTTCTGGAGAGTTGCCTGATTTGGATTCAGTTGAAGGGGCTCTTCAATGGAGAGAGACCTCTTGGTCCAAAAGATTGATACAGCAGAAGCTAGGTGATGTCTCGACCATTTTAAAAGCGTTTTCTGACTACGTTGACAGTCTATGTGGGACACCGTATCCTTTGGATTACGATATTTGGTTGAGAAGATTAAAGAGGAATCTCACAGAAGATCATGGAAAAGATATCGAAACTTCAGGCTAAGCTAAGCTTTCATCAAATCTAGTATGTGAGTCCTTATATAAACATTCTTTCAGGTGCTCTCTGCTTAACCTGCCCGAGACTGGAAAGCTTCAACGATGCGACGTATCATACGGTTTTGGGACCATGTTCTGTTCTTGTATAGAATCTTTGGAATGGATTAGATTCTGTGTTTGCCTTCGCTTCTGTTCCTTTTCTTCAGTATTGTTATTATTATTATCTTGAAAGTGATTCTCTATTATTTCATTGTAATGATTCTTGTATGCTCTCTATTCGTCAGTATTTTTATTTTAACATGTATTGGTTCGCAAATGGTTTTATGATATGACGCATCTTATAAGGGAGGGAGTACCTTGCAACGCAAGAAATGACCATGCAATCATCTGAGCCTTCTCCTATGCTTTTCTCTGATAAGAAAAGTTTACTCGTTGAAGACAAAAGTGTTTGGCTTTAGAAGTAAGAAAGTAGTTTACACAAGTAATCAAGGATTTTGTTTTTACAGGCGCAAAGATTCCACAACAGATCTCTCTGTGTCTTTATCTCGACCTCACATCAAACGCTGTGTTGGTCTCTGCGGTTACATCACTTAAGCCTTTCTTCTTAACAGTCTCTTCAATTTTGTTGTTGTCATACTCAAGTGTCTGGAGAAGCAAGCCGCCCTTGCTAGTTTTCCACGCACCAACTTCCATATCCATATCATGTTTATTATCTCCCCGGGGTCCAAAGGCTCTGTCTAGCTCAGATGCAATGGAACCAACCTCCACATCAGGTTCCTCTGGAGCCCAATCTCTGAAGTTTATCATTGGAGGTGGGATTTTAGCAAAGAACAACTCATACAGGTTCTTGAAGAGACCCTTTCCGTAAGGATTCTCTTTCTTGTCATATCGGTACCTGAAATTCTCATAAGTTGTCTGCAAAAACATATCATCAGAACCAGTACATTGCAAGTAAAATGCACAAAAAAACATATATCAGACAAGAGTTTCTTAAGGATCTTGCCTGATTGGTGCAGATAAGATAGAGGTGAAACACAGTGAGTCCACCAACAAACCAGACAACGACAAAGCAGTAGACAATGAGAACAATAAAGATTGCATCGTCTGTGATGACCATTAACAACATCTTTCCGTGTGCCTCAAGTATGCTGACCCATGAGAAGATAAAGACGTACAAGCAGAGGAGTGTTGATGTTGATATGAAACATATGAAGTACGGATAGTTTCTCTACAAAGACAACACAACATGTTAGATCACATATTTACACTTAAAACACTTTATGTTTCAAGAGATTCAAAACTTACTAAAGCTATGCATTGGCCCACCCATGGACAATGATGATCAAATCTTTGGACACAGTTATTGCAGATGGAGCAGTGAGAGGCGCGAGGAGGACGGTAAAGCAAACAAGTATCACAGAACTTAACTTTAACAGTATAACCATTCACCAATATATCTTTGGTACGAGGTAACTTTGTGTTACCGAGTTTGTTATTTACCCACTCTGAGGATTGACTGATCTTATCAAGCCCTTCTCCTTCAGGTGCGTCTTTGTTCCTTGGGATGATCCCTGGGTCTCTCGATGAAGTCAAGAAGAGAAACGTGAAGTCCTGTGAAGAAAAGAAAGTAAAGAGATGCAACATAGCTTACAAGGCAAGTAACAGTTAGGGTTTATTAGTACCAAGACAGTGAGCAAAATGGAACCCATCAAGACAAGAGTGTGGAACAAAGGATAGCGCTTGCCGATCATAAAAGCCATTCGAATTGAGAATGTGACAGCAGGAGCTCCAATCATAACTGTGGTCAGAAGAAGTGAAGATGCATCTGGACCAAAGACTAGTCTCCCTCCACAGTAAAATTTCTAAAACATGAAACACACAAAGCTGCAATTTAGACATGAACAAATTTTATGTCATGCTTGTGATGCAAGTAAATGATATTGGATAGAATTTATGCTAAAGACCAAACCATATCAAATGTCTTAAACCTCATGTTTTATAGATGTATACTAGAAAATACCATTAACAGATTAGGGAAATGCAAATGAACCCTAATTCACAAAATCTCAACTTCCAATACAGAGGATAATCCGTGGCTTGCAAGAAACAATAGAAAAAAAAAATTTAAGAGCTTGAATAGGAAAGGCAAACATACATTGTTACCAGGCCAGAGTTGGTAGATTCTCTTGGGTTTAGATTCTTGAGAATACATTGTTTCGTCGTCACAAGGAGCATTATGGACATGACTGCTTTTCTTCCTCCCCATTCTTCTTATTCCTCAAGCCTCAGACTCAAAGACCAAGCGGTCAAAACATAAACACCATTGTCTTCAATGTCTGTTTGTTGTCGCGGCCAGCGAAAGAAACCACCGGAGATTTCAAGTCGCTGCCGCCGGTAGTTTGGCTTCTCTCCTCCTCCTCCTCTACACCAAACTCTCTCTCTCCCTTTGTTTCTAATTAAGGTTTGTTTTGAAAATGGTTTTTCTCTCTCTCTTCCTTCTAAAAAAGCTTTGTCCTCAGCCATTGGAAGTTTCGTCAACAACAACAACATTCATTCTCTGGAACATCCTTAACATAGCATTCTTGGCAGCTACGTCACTCCTAATATCTCGTAACCTAACAAAAAACCCTAACTTTTGATACTTCCGTTCTCCCCGCACGCGCCATTTTCTGTTTCTAACCGTTTTTCTTTTGTACTTTGTAAATGACTTGTGCTGTCAGAATCAAATTATAAATTTTATAGATATGTTTCACAAAACTAGCTACTTCTCTTCATGCATTTTGACTTTTTAACAATATTCTAAAAATTGATAAAAAATCAAAACAAATCAGTTTAAACCGTTTTAGGTCGGTTGAAAATAAATTAAATTAATATATTTAAATCAATTTAAGTTGGTGTAAATCTATTTAATCAACTTATAATGTTAGTTCAAATCTACAAATTCTCTATTTTTTTTTTGTATATCTAATTTTTATAATTAATTTTATAAGTAAACCTAAAATATATAAAAATAAATAAAAAATTCATTAACAAAACCATACATAGATTCTGAATAATCCACCTAATAGCTAGTCTTCTACCAAGAGGTTAATTACCGCCTAGCAATATTTTCAACATTAATTTCTTTGTTGAGACTAGTCTCTTGTATAGATGCTTCACATCAGGAGTAGATTCAAAACCATAAACACCTACAATTTTATTAAAACTCAGAACACAGTAGTAGTTTTATCAGCACAAAATTTTTGAAACTGTAACACGTTTTTTGAGAAAGAATATATAAATAGAATGAGATGAATCTTGCTAGTCAGATCAGAATCAAAACTGTATCTGTTCTCAAGGCATCCATGTTTTAGACAGCTTCTGCGGTTTCATACTTCTTTTCAGAATCTGTATCTTTGCGACAACGGAAGTGGAAGAACTGGAGCAGAATCTGAGACAAAGATGCAAAGTTAGAACTCAGTGGAAAAGAAAGGAATCAAAGACCATGAAAGTTATGAGACAGAGAGAGAGATTGTATACAAGAAAATCAAGTACAACACATCCTCCTGCATCCACAAGCCATGGTAGATTCGGTGCAATCTTTGACCATTCAGTGCTGGCCACAAGGATACTGCAACAAAAAACAAGAAAGCTCATGAAGCGCCACCAGAGATTCTTTAAACTCGAAGCAAGTAAAGATAAGTGATCTTTACCTTCCTACATAAGTCATATTGCCAACTAATGCAAAGAAGAACATCAATGGATTCAATCCTTCCACATGTCCTCTCCTCATGTTGAGACATATTTGAGGAAGCCTTCCACCCATATAAATCACTGCCATTGCCCAACCCATCCACATTCCAATCTTGCTGTTTTCTCCACCGTTATGTTCTGCTAAGTTGCCACTAGTGACCTGAAAACAGAACAACTTATAGATTCAGAAAAGAGTCACCAGAAAATTAATGTGCTAGTTTTGAGTACCTGCAGAAGCTTTCTTGCTGCTCGAACCACAAATACTCGATCACTCTCTCCTAAAGCCATAGTTCTTGGTTCACTAAGCAGACTAGAGAGGTTGAACGTTCCAAGAAACATGAACACTGAGACCTAATTTACAAAGAAAAATTTCAATGATGAAGCCACTTAGAATTGAGAAATCAGAACAAAGCATTGTGAACAAAGGCTCTAACCACACATAGCAATGATTTGGTGGACGGAGGCATTGAAGGAGGTGTGGCATCCTCAGGAAGCAAAGGCTCTTCAAGAAATGGTTCACTTTGACCACGAGCCATTCTCTGAGCTAAGACAGAACCAGCTGGTGGTGTATGACTACTCGACAAAGATCTTGCCGACCTGACATAATCAAAAACGCAAACTCAAATGAATTTCTTCCTTACAAACACAATGATGGTGAATCTAAATTTGTCAGCATTACGTGTAGAACAGTTCTCTTCCGGTAAAACTAGTCCGGTGACTCCCAGGAATCATAGTGATAGGTGTGGTTTGAACGCCACAAGGAGTAGCATCAGAGCAGCTATTCCTCCATCTACTTGGAATTTTCGGATCACTGCATATGTTTGCTATCCGTTCTGCTTCAACCTACACCAAACAATACATTACTAGTGTCTACACATAACTAAGTCTTGAAAACAAGAAAGAAGCTTAATGAAATAATATACCATTTGGTTTCTTCTGTTTTTCAAGCCTGGGTAGATATGGCCGTAATATATAGATTGAACAAAGAGAACTAATGTAGTCACTGTATACAACTGCAAACATATCAAACAAATCAAGCTAAGAAGCAAACAAACATTGTAATAACACAGCTGCTACAGCATCTTTTTTTAATTTACCAGTGCCATGTAGAATTGTGTTGGAAGCTGCAAAAGGGATTTGTAAAATTAAAGTTAGCTATAAGCTACTCTCTCAAAGTAAATCAACAAGATTGGGTGTTCTGAAGATTCACTTACAGTAGCTGGTTCCATCAAGCAGCCAAGGAGATTAAAGATATCTCTACACAACAGACCAAATTCAAATCACTAAAGATAAAAAGGAACATGTAAGAAAAAAAGAAGAAGCAAAAGAACAAGACTTGTCATGTTTACCCAATGATCCAGGTTGTTAAGAAGGCAAGAGAGAGACCTTCAGTGGATTTCTCAAAGTAGTTAGTCATAATCTGTGGTACCTCAGCGACACCCCAACTGATAACACTGATGACACCAAGAGACAATGACAATCCATGTCTAACACTGCTGTGGAGAAACATCATCTTTCACAACAGCTGAAAAAACACCTGTTTAAGAACCCAAAAAAACAAAACTAGTCCTTAAGTATTGAAAGGTTGTGTCTTTTTAAATTGTAACAAGTTGAAACAAGAGGCTGAATATGAATAGGAAAATGGTTTCAAAACTACAAGAGACCAGAGATTCTGACAATAATGTAATTAATACAGAAAGACCCCACAAAAACTGAATATTCTCCCTAAACCACACCAAATCATCCACCCCAGGAGGATTCAGATTCAATCAGAACTAAATGTCTTTTCATTTAAAGCAAAAAACATCCGAGAGAAAACGTTACACATATCCCACATATGCACCATTGTCAGAACTACTAAAGAGAAATCGATATATTGATAGAAAGTTCATACCTTTTTATTTCCAGAAGAATCGATGGGTTTGTTTCTCTGTATTGGAAGATTAATTTATTTATGGGGGAGATTTTTTGAGGAAAGGAGAGGCCTTTAAGCGTTGCTGGTTCGTTTTGTCTTCTTATTGTTTATGGCGATTGATATCATGTTCTTCTGGAAACACACAGTCACACAACCTTTTTGTTTTCTTTAATTGCAAAATACAAATATTATTGATTTTTGATGGTGTTGTGTTATTAATTGATTCGCATTATTGCCGCTAATTGATTTGGTCTCTTCCTCTGCGTTGTATTTACAAATTTATGTTTTCTGTTAGTGGGTTGGCCATAAAGTGAAAGACATCAAAACAAAATATATCATTACTGGAAACTAATTCGGGAAAATTAGTATAAGTACCTTAAATGAGTATATTCCATATATCATATTATAGTGGCGTTTTGACCATCACAAACACAAATTTTTAGTATTTTCTTGGTAACTTGTGACAATTTTTTTTCATATATGACCTTGTTATATTTTTGTTTTAACGGTAGTCATTTTGCTTGCCTCCTTCCAGCTCAGAATGCTTAATGCCTATTTTCTAGAAACTTATCTTTTTATCTTTTGGTCTCGCTTCCAACACATAAAGCAAGAATAATACACAAAAATTAAACAAACCAATAATTGAAAAAGCAAGAGAAAAAGTAGACGTTTTCTAAACCCATTTGATCAGTTCGTTAATGCAAACATCAAATAATAATATTTTATAAACTTTTCCAAAAATTATTAAGAAAATTTATTATAGTTTCAGTGGATGTTTTTCTGTAATAAAAGAAATAAAGTTGATACAAAACGGAACAAGTGTGCCTGGGGGGGAGGCACCAAATTTAACCCAATTTGTACACTTGCCCACCCACCTGACCACTAATATCCTGCCTTTATTTTATCGGTTTAAAGAAAGTTTTTAAACCGGCTAAGTTAAATTGGCCCGGTTCAGTTCATACATGGGCCTCAAAAGTCCAATTAATATTCAACTTCTTGCATTGTGTAAATCATCGTCTTTCAAACTCTTGTGTTATTCTTTTGTTGTTTATTGATTAGTCAAGATTTTCACTTGAAGTTATCTATCTGTTAATGTTTGTCATTTAAGAATCTTGAAATTTTGGTGTCACAGCCTCGTGACTATGTTGTGTTCTGAATAGTGTTCGGTTTTGCACCAGCTTATTTCTTGGAAGTCTTCTCCTTATCTTCTCAATTCATAGTGCAGATATTCCTAAGCAATGTTTTTAATACTAGCCTGCTCAATCTTCTGAAGATATTAAGGTGCTCATGGAATTAGAGTTGTTTAATCTGTAAAAAACAATTTGTAACTAGGAATAGGCAGACAATTAGTGTGTTTATGTTGCATCATGGGAGCTCTGGATATTCTTTCCAATCAAGTGCTATCTACTGTTAGTTCACTATGTAATGTTAAGTTGAGATCATGATATAATAGTGCATAGTTTCTCCACCTAGTTGTCTTATAGACCACTTGGTTAAAATTGCGTTCAACTAGTGAAATATTATACAATACTTGATCCTACATCAAAGATAAGAGTATATGTGACTTTTTTCTTCTCTCTGTGACAGGATCAAACGGCCGCACAAGACTCACTGGTCATCATGTTCTCCTCCTCAAGTGCACAAAAAGGAGTAAGCCCTATTCTTAACAGAATCTTTTGTTACATTTACTGAGTAATGTATAAAGAGTGTGTTAAGAACTTAAGAATATACTTTGGAAGCAGAAACACGTGGGAGAACATCCCAAAGAGGAAGCACACGCGGATCTTCATGCAAAAACCCTGATTCTCTTCACCAGCCCATGTGGTCCCTTCCTCCCTTTGTCCCCTCCCTCTTTCACTTTTTACCATGCAAAATGAATCTTTTTCTCATCAAATAATAACCNAGAGTGTGTTAAGAACTTAAGAATATACTTTGGAAGCAGAAACACGTGGGAGAACATCCCAAAGAGGAAGCACACGCGGATCTTCATGCAAAAACCCTGATTCTCTTCACCAGCCCATGTGGTCCCTTCCTCCCTTTGTCCCCTCCCTCTTTCACTTTTTACCATGCAAAATGAATCTTTTTCTCATCAAATAATAACCTTTATTTCAATTTTATTGATTTATATATCTCAACACTTTCTCGGTTTGTGTCATTAGACTCTCCAAAAAAGTTGTGCATTTTTGGGAAACTTATGTTTGAGAAAGACAATGTCTTTAATAAGAGTTATATTTCTTGAAGAAAAAAACAAAGATAAAGTGATTATATAATAAAAGTACAGCGTGCTGAATATTTGTTAAATACGACCTATGTACAAGGTATAAAACTTGATATCACATGTCCCTTCTAAAAGTATTCATATGTAAGAATACTATTGCTTCTTTATACTGTTGTCTTTATTTTCTGTATTATCTTAAAAGTAGCTTTTATAACTGAAGATTCCTTAAGCTACAGTTTAAAGTTTGAGTGTAACAGTTTCTTTTTTTGGACTCTTCTTTTCTTTCTCTCTCTCTCTCTATTCTTTCTCTCCCGTGTGTGTGAATAAGGGAGAGAGAAAAGGGAGAAAGATAGAACACAAGTTCATTTCATTCTCTTCTCTCTCTGTTGCTTCACCAAGTGTAGGCTGCATGCGCAAGTCTTCTTGCTTGCTGTGATGCCTATGAAAATTAGAACTTATAGATCCTGAGTACTTGTTTAGATAGAACAGAGTTTCTAGTTTTCATATCATACATTGTTTTTTGTTTTTCTCACTTTTTTTTAAAGACTTTATGGGTTCTCTTAGAGGAAGCGTTGAAGAGCCTATCTCTCAGTCATTACCTAGACAAAACTCTCTATACAACTTAAAGCTCCATGAGGTTCAAACCCACTTAGGAAGCTCCGCAAAACCATTAGGAAGCATGAACCTTGATGAGCTTCTCAAGAGTGTTTGGTCTGCTGAAGCTACCAATCAGCCACCAGAAGCAACAGAGGCAGGGCTCTCTCGTCAAGGAAGCTTGACTTTGCCACGTGGTCTCAGCAAGAAGACAGTTGAAGAGGTTTGGAGAGACATTCAACAGGACAAGAACGGAAGCAGTGTTGCTGATCCTCATGGTGAGAGGATAGATAATCATTGTAATAAGCAGCCTACACTCGGTGAAATCACACTTGAGGATTTGTTGTTGAAAGCTGGTGTAGTGACTGAGACAATAGTCCCTCAAAATGTTGTCAACGTAGCTTCAAGTGGGCAATGGGCTCAGTATCATCAGCCTCAGCATCAAAACCAAGGGTTTATGCCATATCCTGTTTGTGAGATGCAAGAAATGGTGTCTCCAAGGACTTTGTTGATGAGTGGGTTATCTGATGCACCACAAGCGCATGGGAGGAAGAGAGTGGCTCCATCAGGAGGAGATATTGTGGAGAAGGTTGTAGAGAGGAGGCAGAAGAGGATGATCAAGAACAGAGAATCTGCTGCACGTTCAAGAGCTAGGAAACAGGTTAAAGAATGAAGAAAACAAAAACAAACTTGTCTTTGTTTTAGTGTTTGTTTTTGTTATTTGGTCTTCTAATAACATTGACACTTTTTTTTTTGGTGATGAGCAGGCTTATACTCATGAATTAGAGATCAAGGTTTCAAGCTTAGAAGAAGAAAATGAAAAACTTAGGAGGCTAAAGGTAAAGTTCCCATCTCTTCTTGTTTCTATGTTGTAATTTGGTTAAGTGGTTTCTTTATGTTTTGAATATTTTGATATAATATCAGGAGGTGGAGAAGATCCTGCCAAGTGAACCACCACCAGATCCTAAGTGGAAGCTCAGGCGAACAAGCTCTGCTTCTTTCTGATCTTTAAGAGACTTTTGGTTCTTTCTTTCTTGTTCTTCTTTGTGTTGGTTCATACTAGAGAGAGACACAGTTTTTTGTTCTTTGTTATTTGTATATTATGTAAACTTTATTGAGTCAGAACAATGTCTTAAGTTACATTTCCGTTTGCTACTTGTTTATAAACTTCTTAATCCCAAAACATGATGATATTTGGCTTTTTAGTTACCTTCAGAAGCCAACTGATACAACAATTATGTGTAGTTTTGAGTATGAACACTTGTTCATTTACGGATTCAACAACATTACCTTACTGTGAAGAAATGGACTTTTGTTGTAGCATGACTGTACTTCACAAAGCATTGGAGGTGGTCTTATGTTGTTGAGCAAGACTGGTACTTCACAAATCATTGTCAAATTCATCTTCTATATTATATTTTCTAAATATATAGCACATATAGTTTATTATATATAGTTTTCTCAACAAATATTTTATTCTATAATACATTTTTTCTGAATTTCTGAATATTATCTTTATAATTTAAATTTCTAATTTAGTAATAAAATTTGTTTGTACGTTGAAAAAAATTAAAATCAGGTTTAAGATACTTTTGGGCCTTTCTCAATATACTATATTGGGCTTATGTAACGGCCCAATTAAATCAACTACAGAAAAAAACACTCGCGCCTTCGTTTTCGTTTCTCTTTTCTTCTCCGGCGACATCTCCGCCGTATCAATAGTGATACCATTCACCTATCTCTGATGCTACACCAAGCATCCTCCTTTCTTCGTCCACTATCATCTGACTCTTCAACCACCATAGCCACTCTATGCTCAAAGGGCAACTTCCGAGAAGCTTTCAACAGATTCGGATTCAACATCTTCACAAACACATCTCTCTTCACACCATTCATCAAATCATTCGCCTCTACACAATCCCTCCCCTCTACAAAGCAGCTCCACTGCCTCCTCGTCGTCTCCGGATTCTCCTCAGACAAGTTCATATGCAACCACCTCATGACCCTCTACTCAAAGTTCGGAGCTTTCCCCTCCGCCGTGGCATTATACGAACGCATGACCAAGAAGCATTACATGTCATCTAACATATTAATCAATGGGTATGTACGTGAAGGTGATTTGGTTAATGCACGGAAGGTGTTCGATGAAATGTCTGAGAGAAAGGTTGCGACTTGGAACGCGATGATCGCGGGTTTGATTCAGTATGACTGTAACGAAGAGGGTTTGAGATTGTTTAGAGAAATGCATGAGTTAGGGTTTTCGCCTGATGAGTTTACGCTTGGTAGTGTTTTTAGTGGGTGTGCTGGGTTGAGGTCTGTGTTTATAGGTCAGCAGGTTCATGGCTACGCGGTTAAGTACGGGATTGAGTTGGATTCGATAGTTAGTAGTTCGTTGGCTCATATGTATATGAGAAATGGGAAGTTGCAGGATGGGCAAAATGTTATTAGGTCAATGCCTGTTCGTACTTTGGTTGCGTGGAACACACTCATCTCGGGGTATGCTCAAGAGGGGTGTCCTGAAGCTGTGCTTTGTGAGTATAAGAAGATGAAAGTGTTAGGTTACAGGCCGGACCAGATTACTTTTGTAAGTGTGCTTAGTTCTTGTTCTGATTTGGCGATTAGAGGTCAAGGTCAGCAGATTCATGCGGAAGCTATTAAGATTGGGGCTAGCTCTGTGGTAGCTGTGGTGAGTTCGTTGATCAGTATGTATTCGAAATGTGGGTGTCTTGAAGACGCGGCTAAAGCTTTTTCAGAACGTGGAGATGAAGATGAAGTTATGTGGAGCTCGATGATTTCTGCTTATGGGTTTCATGGTCAAGGTGGAGAGGCTATCAAGCTGTTTAATACCATGGTGGAGGAGACAGAAATGGAGATAAACGAGGTCACGTTTCTGAACTTGCTTTATGCATGTAGCCATTCTGGTTTGAAAGACAAAGGGATTGAGTTGTTTGACATGATGGTTGAACAATACGGATTCAAGCCTAGCTTAAGGCACTACACTTGTGTGGTGGACTTGCTTGGTCGAGCAGGTGATTTAGATCAAGCCGAGGCGAAAATAAGATCCATGCCGATAAAACCAGACACTGTTATATGGAAAACATTGTTATCTGCGTGTAGCATACACAAAAACGCAGAAACGGCGCAGAGAGCCTTTGAAGAGATTCTTAAGATTGACCCTAATGACTCTTCTTGTTACGTTCTGCTTGCAAACGTTCACGCCTCAGGTAAGAGATGGCGTGATGTCTCAGAGGTGAGGAAGTCAATGAGAGATAAGAATGTGAAGAAAGAGCCAGGAGTCAGCTGGTTTGAACACAAAGGTGAAGTGTATCGGTTTAAGATGGGAGATCGTTCTCAGCCTCAATCGAAAGAGATCTATTCATACCTGAAAGAGATGACTCTGGAGATGAAGTTGAAAGGATACAAGCCTGATACAGCATCAGTGCTGCATGATATGGATGATGAGGAGAAAGAATCAGACTTGGTGCAGCACAGCGAAAAGCTAGCCGTTGCATTTGCGCTCATGATATTACCTGAAGGTGTGCCCATTAGGATAATCAAGAACTTGCGGGTTTGCGGAGATTGCCATGTTGCTTTCAAGTATATATCGCTGATCAAAAACCGAGAGATTACGTTAAGAGATGGTAGTAGATTCCATCATTTTGTTAAAGGGAAGTGTTCCTGCGGTGATTATTGGTAACTTGGGGTGTAGTATTAGTACAAGGTTGTGAAGGTTTTAGCCACACGACTCAAGATTATTTACACTGCGTATTAGCTTTGTGCTAGTGTGCTTGGTTGTGTTGTTCGAAGATACGCTCGTTAGTGAAGCTTCAGGACATGGTTACTTTACATGTGTTAGAGCATGCCCATTGGGGTATGTAAAGGGGTTCATGGGTTCAAAAACCTAGAAAAATCAATTAAAATATAATATATCTTATGAACCCATCCCTCATAGATTCATCCTGACGAACCCGTATCATAGGAATTTCGCGGGCCCCACGCCACGTGGCGGCCCGCGATTGGTCCGTTTTTAAATTTTTTTTTTTTTTTTTTTTTTTTGAAAAGTAAACGAAAAAATAAAAAAAAAAAATATTTTTTTTTTTGTTTGAACCCCACCCCCATCGGTTCACTGATGGGGGTGCTCTTATAAACTAAGAGTATTGTCATATTCTCTGATGACCATTCGTTTGTTTTGGCACCACATCAAATTTTGTAAGTAAGAAGTGAAATTAGGCGTTGATAGAACTGGTCAAACATCACTAACGAATATTACAGATACAACATCTGATAGATCATAGAACTATTTGGAATGATGTTGATGGTGCCAAGACAATGAACTGTTTAAATACCCTTCACAAAAATTCCAAACTCTATAGTAACTTTTTCCCCACCAGCATTTATTTTCCATATAAATAATTTTGTAGCTCACTATGATAATATTTAATAACATCAATTAAAAGCTAAAATGACAAAATTATGACAAAGTACACAAAAGAAGAAAAATCTCCAAATAACATCAATTAAAAGCTAAAATGACACAATTACTTTTAAATCTTAAATACTGTACTCCATAAATATTAAACATTTATCACTAAACTCAAATTAACCCCAATATATATGTTAACTTTTATTAATTAATTCTATATGGATTTTATGTGTTATTTTTTTAGAAAAAGGTATTTTACTACTATTATAAAATAAATTTCTAAAATAAAATTTTGATTAAAATGAGAATATTTTAAATTTATGTAACTTCAAGATTAATCTCTCAAAAGAAAGTGTAGTAAAACAATATAACTTAGTTTCTAATCTGAAATGTATTAATCCACAGTACTATCTACACTCGCTTTTTACGTATATATATAATCCATCTTTTAGGACAGAACCCACCGAAAGCTCCACAAACTCCATTAAAAACAAAAAGAAGGCGGCGCAAAAGAAAAGAACTAAAAAGATGCAACCAGAGAGTTCAGATCAGATGTTATACTCATTCCTCGCCGGAAAAGAAATCTCCGGAGGTGGACTCTGCGTTTCAGATGACTACATGTCGACGACTATGCAGAGTTTATGCGGGTCATCTTCGTCTACGTCATCTTACTTCCCATTAGCGATCTCTGGTATCGGAGAAACGATGGCTCAAGACAGAGCTCTTGCTGCTTTGAGGAATCACAAAGAAGCTGAGCGAAGAAGAAGAGAGAGGATCAATTCTCATCTCAACAAGCTCCGTAACGTACTCTCTTGTAGCTCCAAGGTATTATAAAGTTTTCATATACATACTAATTATCTTTCATATGGTATACATATATCCCCATACATATGTGCGTATATCTTATTATATATTTAGAGAATGTTTTTGAAACTATCAGTCAACAAAAGAATGATTCTGAAATGAGTACTAGCTAGGGTTTCAACACAATGTTTACATCTTTAGAATTTTCTTATCTTCCATTTGCTTTTTTTACGATCATGGATACACTATATTTCTAATGATATCTTGCTATATAATGAAAAGACATACTAACACTATTTTTTTTTTACTACTCTTCTTACTAACACACATGTTTTATCAAAGAGGCTTCGTAGTTCTCATTATATATTCATTGATTTTTAATAATTTTAATGTATGCAATGGTTAAAATATTTAATACTTGCAAATAGTGAGAAGGTTTAGGAGACGAGATAAAAACAAAAAGCTTCATGGCCTTTTCTGAATCTTGTTGGAATAGTATATCACCTTTTAAGAAAGTTGTCAAGCTTTTTCAGTTGATTTGTTATGATATGAACTTCAAATTTCAATATCTTGATCCAAAATTCAGAAAAGCTTTTTCTAAAGATATCATGTTTTCATTTCAGACTGATAAAGCCACACTACTCGCCAAAGTGGTTCAACGAGTCAAAGAACTTAAACAACAAACCCTAGAGATCTCTGACTCAGACCAAACTCTTTTACCTTCAGAGACCGACGAGATTAGCGTTCTACACTATGGAGACTATTCAAACGACGGTCATATTATCTTCAAAGCATCTTTATGTTGTGACGACAGATCGGATCTCTTGCCTGACCTCATGGAGATACTTAAGTCTCTTCACATGAAGACTCTTCGAGCTGAGATGGTTACTCTTGGTGGTCGGACAAGAAGTGTTCTTGTTGTAGCTGCCGACAAAGAGATGCATGGGGTCGAGTCTGTGCATTTTTTACAGAATGCTCTCAAATCTCTGCTCGAGCGGTCGAGCAAATCGCTGATGGAGCGTAGTTCTGGTGGTGGAGAACGGTCAAAACGCCGCCGTGCACTGGATCAAATCATAATGGTGTGAGATGATGAGAGTGCACTAAAAGGTCTTTAATTTAATATATAGGGTATGGTCATAATTAACTTGGTTATAATTACCAAAACCTTTTTATTGTTCCTACTTTATAATATGCTCTATGGTTTTAGTTATAAGTGTGGGAGTGTAAGCAGATGTTGTAAGTAGGTTTGGTGTGTTCATTTTTCATATCCTATTTCAAGAAAAAGATAATATATAATACATAAAGTATTTTTTTTTCTTGCTATTTTCTCTATTTACTAGTATCAATTATGTCTGAGTTGTTGGTGTGAGGACTACTAGGTTTTTTGAGATTGTGAGAATATTTGTCGACATGAAGAATCTAATTAGTAACAGTTGTGATTGGTGAAGTACAAAAAGAAACTATTACACCATATATGTGAACGTATACAAAGTACATGGTGAATAGAGGTCTATATGTTTGCATGCAGTTTCAAAGCGACCCTTATGTCACCTTTGTCCCCAAACGAATCCAGTCTCTGCTCCTATTATTTGTTTATGTCTTTCTAAATGTGTACATGTGATCACATTTTCCAGACCGAAGAATATAAGGAGGGTCGACCCTTTTATATTTAATAATTTATGATCTTACTTCAAAAATAAACGAGTATTTACTCTACTTATTACATGTGACTGTGACGAACTGAAACACTTTTAGTTGAGATTTATAAAGTATTAGTTAATATTTATAGTCTATACGACTTTACGACTTTTTGGATCATATTGAAATAGCGTGCATATACGTATAACACAAGTACATAATTACTCGAGTGGTAAAGACTGCTTAGCTGACTTCTTTAATTTGGCCTTAGAATTCGTGTTAACTCCTATAGAAAAGACATACAATAGTACGTATATATAGAAGAAACTATGTGTAAAATACCATTTTAATATGTGTAAATACTTGGGATAGTCTAGTACATGAGTGATCATTTGCTGAGATAGTCGTTGATGAATATCCTAAATGATATATTCACACACCGATACTCATACTCGTATTCGTAAATATAGTGGTCTAGTGGTTGAAAATCTCAAGGATATATACAAAAAAAAACTACTGGATACTCATGCAAGTACACAATGATAAAAAATTGCACGTTTTGTGAATTAATTAACTCAATAATAATATTCTAAGTATAAATAATTTCATCATTGTGATTTAGTGGATAAATAATTCAGAATCGATTATAAGAAAAAGAATTCGTGTTTTTCTAACGTGATTCTTAAGTATGGGTTGGTTATTATTATCATATTATGTGTGTTTAAATGAGAAATGCTCCGAAATTTTAAGTTTTGGTTTGAGATCTCCTAATCATCGAAAACAACTTTAGTGAATTATAATGAGTTTTAACACACGAATAGGATGAGAATGTTGTGGATTAAAGGAATGAGAAGCGTGAGAAAAGGAGACTGACAAAAGGAAGGAGAATTGATGGGCCATTGGCTCTATGAGACAAAAAGACCGACCCTTCTCATCACTCTCCCTTTTTCCTTTCTCTCTTTTTCTTATAATTGTTTCTTAGTTTTCTGGAGAATTAAATAAAAAAATATTGAAGAAAACTAAGAGAAGAAGAAACAAAAGGTGGAGGAAAAAGTTTGTCCATGGAGCGTGATAGTTTTGGGGCAGCTGGTGTCCCCTCTATACTCAACCTCTCGACCAAAAAGTATATTTTATAGAAGTCTTCATAGCTTTGCACTATTTTATTAATATTATTATTAAAGGTAAATTTGTAATTCAACTCAATAGATAGTAGAAAAACCTTCAAGTTTTTAAAAATTGATTATGAAGTTTATGGGTATTGTGACAAAATTAATCATTAATGTCTCATCGTGTAAACATGTGAGTCCCCCTTTCTTATCTTACCACACAATTTTGACCATCCTATTTCCTTTTTGAATGTTACTACTATTTTTATTTAATTTTACATTTCATAAACAAGCAGATATGAGTTGTCATATTTTATGTCAAATATGTGTTTTTCTTTTTTGTTTTCATGTGATCTTGTTGTCTGTCTTGGTCAGGTTTTCTTGTTTATCGACCCACACAAATGTTGGAACCTTTCACCTACTACGGGGGGTTACTGGGAATTTAGAAAACCTAAAAATACTGAAGTAGCAACCTCAGCATAATATTTTGTATTCATTTGGATATAGAAATTGATTTTCTTTTGACGCTTAGAATGATTCGACAGAAAATGTACTATCTATAACTACTTATTTCGACTTTTAAAGCAAATTGTGTTGTTCTATTTGTCAATATCAAACTTAAGCTTTGAGTTTTGAATTATTTAAGAAGTTAGTATGTCAGAAACTCGGAACATATATTCATGTTTAACACTTCTAATTGACGACTGATTTAACGTAAATTAGCTCATCTCTCATACAACTAAATGGAATAGTGTCTAAGAGTATCTCCAACTCCATTTCATAATTTTATTACAAAATGAAGTGAGAAATTGATTACTCTATTTTGCAGTAAATTATGGAGTGAGTTTGGAGATGTTCTAAGTCTCGATCTATATAAACTATGATGAACATATATAACCTTTTAATATTATCTAAATGTTAACTGAAATCGATAGATATTTAAAAAGGAAACCATTAGTTTAATTACACACATCTACCAAAGATCACAATATTTTAATATGTTTATATTGTACTTGTGTATAAACTTGTTTTATATATATGCCTGACTACATTATCTAGAATAGATAACATGTCTCTTCAAAACTTTTGATAACTTAAAAGTTGAATCTGGTATATATGCAACCGTACTTTTGAATATATGTTTAGGGTTTCGTACGAGACTTACTACTTAAAAACTCTAACTCTTGAGACAATCAATCACTCTCGAGTTTTAACAATGCATGTATAAGTGAAATAAACAAACTGTTTCACTTTTCAGTATCAAAACTCTTCAATGGATTGATAATAAAAACAAATCAGAAAAAAGAAGGAAAGAATGGAAGATTGAAGCCCATCATCTAAAGAGATTTGGACTCCTCTTCTTAGGGTATCCAGAGAAAGGCCCAAATTAGAGTTGAGTAGAGCAGTCCATTGTGACAGTGAATCTGACATGACAACTCTTTAACACTTGAATTACAATGCCATGTCTCTACTCTGAGCCTATGCCGTACGTCAAAGGCACCAACACTGCTACCACATATATAATTAATCATTTTATAACATTTGTTACTCTCTTTTCAAAAAAAAAAAAAACATTTGCTACAAAACTCCAAATAATTCACGGGAACGTCAGTTTCTGAATTGGACTGGACCGAAACTTCGGCTTTTTAATTTTCTAATAATTTTTCTAATTATAATTTGTATGTGAAAACAATTAAGATAAGTATAAAATAGGCCTACGAGAAGAAAGTGAACATGGAGCGAAGTATAAAATACACACTTCGTTTTGGCCAAGACGTTGGTAATGTTTACGTGGTGAAATTGTTAAGCTGAAATAAAGAAACATACTGGTTTGTATCATGTTAGGTTATACTTTTCTTACAGTTACTAGAGAAATCTCGAACAACAGATTGCATCCTTTGTGTTAGGCCCAACTAACGCTGCCTATAAAACTTTGAGAAAACGTTAACGATCTTATTAGAATTTACATACACAAGGTGAAATTAGAAATGAAAAGAGGTGGCAAAAGCAAATGAAGTGGAATAGTTGTCAGGGGAAATGGATATGTTTCTGTTCAGTCTACTTTTACAGTTTTTACTTTTAATCTCACCGACGGTGGTGGTTGGGCCTTCTCTGGTTTCCACTTTCTTTGGGCTATCTCACCTTAAATTATTATTTTAAATTTTTGTTTAGTTTGATAAAAAAAAATATTTGTTTAGTTTATAAATAATACTTTACGTTATAACTAACACGTTCAAATTCATTAATAATACTTTCAACATGCGTACTGAATTATTATTGACTTGGCTCTTCTACATGGTTTTAGAAGAACCTACTGCATGGTTTAAGAAAAAAAAAGAACCGGTAACTAAATCCAACTCTATTTTTAATTTGATGGTGAAACTGGTGTATTCATTTTGTTTTCGAACTGACATCAGAACCCACTGGATCTTGCCACTGGAGACACTCGTTTCAATAGAAAGAATCAGTCAAATCATTTGCCTTCCAAGTCATGAAATTGAGTTTTTTTTTTTTTGTTGGTCAAAGAAATTGAGCTTCTAACTCATTGTAATACACGTGTGAGATAGTCAGTATCTCACGCCTTACACACAAAATATTTATTTATGAAATGAAAGAATTATGAATATTGATTGCATAGGAAATAGGATGTATACCCCCATGAAATAGTTAATGATAATATCATAGGATGCACAGAATTAAAATATGTATTTTCTTATGTTGGCCGAAATCATTTTTAAAACGTGATTGAGGTGGCAGCAGGTGGTTTTTGTCCATACGTGATTAACTGCGGCATAAACATAAATATTTGAAAGAATAGTTAAATAGTGTAGCCTCTAATCTACTCAAACCCATTAATTAGCAGAAGAAAAACAGCCTACGTTGTACTGTAAAACACTCTGTCATGTAAATACTGAAACAAAACAAACATTCGGTTGATTAAACTATGCCAGCGATATGATACTTATTTTCTACGATAAGAAATTCATCGATGTATTCAAATCATTTGTGCCTAGTGGCTACTACGCTAGTACCAAACCCCCAAACTATTGTTTATTAATCTATTCATCTCGGTTTTGACGTGCAAGTAGATTCATACATGTTGTTTTCAAAGTTTGAGTAGGCAAAGAAATTTTGGGAATGAGATGTGGCAAGAAACCAAGAACCAAGATATTGTAAATTGTTAAAAATTTAATATTGCATATAAAATTAATAGGTTTTTATTTCAAAATTAACTTTTCATATATAGGTTAGCATATGAATAACTAATTAGGTCTTTCATTGGGTAGCTTTCTTTTTTTATTGAGTCCCAACTTCGAGATTATATGCTCTTTTATCATTTTGGCATGATTCAAGAACTCCTTTTGGATACTTTGTTTATGTATAACAATTCTAAATTGGGCAGTGCAAAGATAAGGTTGCATTGAGTCTTGACAAAATTCTTTTTATAGACTCGTCTATTCTCCCCCACTCTATCTAAAACCAAATATCTCTCTTTACATAATGAATAGCAAACAGACTTCTAGCAATTATGCACATATGTTAGCAAGGAAGGACCACCAAATAGTGTTTTTATTAATTGTTGTATCACCCACCAGCCACCATCTTGGCTAACTCCAAATTTATTAAGTTAATAAATTTCTAAACATCACAAACTCTTCCTTCATTCTTGGCAACCAAAACATCACATTATTCCCATTTAACAAAAGATATTGGCATATATTACAAGAAGGGAAGTATATATACATATTAAAATAAATTAAATAAAAAAAAAAGTAAAACCAATCAAAGCTTTTGCTTTCTTTTTTATTCTCTCTCCTTTATTCTTCTCTCTCTACCTTTTTCCTTCTTTGTTGTTACTGTGAAAGCATCTTCCTTTTTCTCTTTTTCTCATCCTTACAGAACACTTTGCTTTTGCTTCGCGTAGTGTATTTACTCAACCTTTTTTCCCCTTCTGTTCGGTAATGAATCTCACTTCTCTCCTTCTTCCTCGTTGCGTGTGATCTAATCTGTAGAAACTAACTAACTCACTCCTCGTAAAGTTTCAATTTTTCTTGTGGTCTGAATCGAAAGTTTCCATTTTTTCTCGTTACTTGGATCGAAAGTTTCAATCTTTCTCAGCCATGGGGATGTGTCACGGAAAACCCATCGAGCACCAACGAAAACAGAGCATCCCATCTCCCGACGAAGCTCCGACGAGCTCTCATCCTCCTCCTCCGGCGACGAAATCCTCTTCAGGGTTTCCGTTTTACAGTCCAAGCCCTTTACCAAGCTTATTCAAATCCTCACCAGCAGTCTCATCGAGCGCGAGCTCAACGCCTCTTCGCATCTTCAAGAGACCTTTCCCTCCTCCTTCCCCTGCTAAGCACATACGCGCTTTCCTCGCGCGTCGCCACGGCTCCTCGGCCAAGCCTAACGAGGTCCCGATCCCTGAAGGGGAAGAGTTCGAGATCGGTCTTGACAAGAGTTTCGGGTTCTCCAAGCACTTTGCGTCGCATTACGAGATTGATGGGGAAGTGGGTCGGGGGCATTTTGGGTATACTTGCTCCGCTAAGGGTAAAAAAGGGAGCTTGAAGGGTCAGGAAGTGGCTGTTAAAGTCATCCCAAAGTCCAAGGTTTGGTTCTTTTTATCTTTCTATCATTAGTTTCTGTTAGTGTTGTGTCTGTTAATGTCTTGTTTCATTGACATGTGTTAGGATTGTGCTCTGTTCTGGTTTCTCTATGTGAATCCTACGTGGAACTGCTTTAAATGTTGGCCAATGATGTTTGATTTGTTCAGACTATGTTCAAATGTTGTGTGTTATAACTATGGGAAAATGGACACTTTTGATATAGTTTCTAGGTTTGGTCTGAAACATAGTTTTCATTGCTTAAGAGTTGTTATATGTTGTTGAGTGCAGATGACAACTGCAATTGCGATTGAGGATGTTAGTAGAGAAGTGAAGATATTGCGAGCTCTGACTGGTCACAAGAACTTAGTCCAGTTCTATGACGCTTTTGAAGATGATGAAAATGTTTATATTGTGATGGAGTAAGTATAGTATCATTTTCTTAACCTCATTTGATCATCTTTTTTAAATTACAGGATTGTGATGAAGATACTTCATATCCCTTGTTTTCTCAGGTTATGTAAAGGTGGTGAACTCTTGGACAAAATACTTCAAAGGTAATTTGCTGTGGCTATCTATGTCTTTTGAACTCCCTTTGCCTTTTGATGTATTGACTTTGTTGGGATTGGTCTCATACAGGGGTGGCAAATACTCAGAAGATGATGCTAAACAAGTTATGGTTCAGATTCTTAGTGTAGTATCTTACTGTCATCTACAAGGTGTGGTTCACCGTGATCTTAAACCAGAGGTACTTTATATTATCCATGATGATGTTTGATTTCTAGATTGTGTTTCTTGTAAATGATTTTAACTTTCGGTGACACTTCACTTTCTAGGTCCCATCACATTACCAGTAGTCTTTGTTACATACATTCAGTTCCACTAGTTTATGCTGAGTGATAATGACGCTTATGTTTCTTTCTCTTTGTTTATTTTCCTCTCACAGAACTTTCTATTCAGCACTAAGGATGAGACTTCTCCTCTAAAAGCAATTGATTTTGGTCTCTCTGATTATGTCAAGCCAGGTCAGAAAATGTGAATAATGAATGACCAAGACATGTATGTACCAATCTCGTTGTTAAATGTGAAAACTTGACAGTGTTTTTGCATATGTTCTGCAGACGAGAGGTTGAATGATATTGTAGGAAGTGCTTATTACGTTGCTCCAGAAGTTCTGCACCGTACATACGGAACAGAAGCTGACATGTGGAGTATAGGAGTGATTGCTTATATTCTTCTTTGTGGCAGTAGACCCTTTTGGGCACGTACTGAATCCGGAATCTTTAGAGCTGTCCTAAAAGCAGAACCAAACTTTGAAGAAGCTCCTTGGCCATCACTATCACCTGATGCTGTAGATTTTGTGAAAAGATTACTAAACAAAGATTACCGGAAAAGACTAACCGCAGCACAGGCTCTGTGTAAGTATATATAATCAAATCATCTTTGTCTCTATAGCATTATTTGAATGTTATGAACATGCGTCTTCTTTGTTCGTCAGGTCATCCGTGGCTGGTTGGCTCGCATGAACTGAAGATACCATCTGATATGATCATATACAAGCTAGTGAAAGTGTACATAATGTCAACTTCATTGAGAAAATCGGCTTTAGCGGTGAGTTGGATTCTAAGAATCTATGACATATACTTACTTAGCAACTGTATAATAAATGTGGGTTTTATTCATGGTTCTAGGCTCTTGCCAAGACATTAACTGTACCACAACTAGCTTATCTGCGTGAGCAATTTTCATTGTTGGGGCCAAGCAAAAATGGATATATCTCCATGCAGAATTACAAAACAGTGAGTTCTCTAATCTCTATGGATACTACCATCCACCTCTTCTCTTCTCATTTGGATTTTTTTGATGTTTTTTCATACAAATATCAGGCAATTCTAAAGACTGCAACGGATGCTACTAAAGATTCACGAGTCTTAGATTTTGTTCACATGGTAAGGAATGAGAGACTAAAGCTTTATCATTAGTTTTGGTGGTTAAACGTTCTGATCTTTGTTTGGGATGCAGATAAGTTGTCTTCAATACAAGAAACTAGACTTTGAAGAGTTCTGTGCATCAGCATTAAGTGTGTATCAACTAGAAGCAATGGAAACATGGGAGCAACACGCACGTCGTGCTTACGAGTTGTTTGAGAAAGATGGGAATAGACCCATCATGATTGAAGAACTTGCATCGGTATGAATCTTTACTCTTTCTTATTCACATAAAGAGAGAATCATGAAGAATGAAACTTAGTAAAAATGTGTGTTAAACTTCAGGAACTTGGACTCGGGCCATCGGTTCCAGTGCACGTTGTGCTTCAGGATTGGATAAGACATTCAGATGGGAAGCTTAGTTTCTTGGGTTTTGTGAGACTACTACACGGTGTTTCTTCTCGGACATTACAGAAAGCAGCTTAGAGGAGAGGAAGCAATGAACATTGTTTTAGATGCTAAAATATGCAAACTAAAGTGTAGTTTTTGTGTTTCTTCTTGTATTCATGTGGTGGTAATATTTTGAGTCAAAAAGATTCAATAATTATGTCTCTGTTGTGTGTGTAGTAATATGTGTGGTTTCAGATAAAGAGGAATGTGTTCATTCCATATCTCTTACACAATCATATTAAATATGATCAGATTGCTCCATTTATTCTTAGACATTACACAATCATATTAAATATAAATATTAATAGTTGTTATTGTTAACTCAAACAGGATGTTGTTTGATGTAGTATTAGTAAATATGGAGCTAGTAAGGTTGGTCCTAGAGCAAGATAATGAAAATTTTTAAAATCATCAAAACTGGTAATTAGAGTTTTCAACTATTATTATTTGATGATATAAGTATGTGTATGAAATTATTTTTGAAAAAAATTAAATTTAGTGGGTCAAATTAACGTTTTAAAGTCGCCCACTCTCATCCCGAGAGAGTTAACACCACGTCCTCATTTCGTGTAGGTACATCTATCGATTTTGTTTGATATTGGGATATTTTCAGAATTGGTTAAAAAATTGAGCGCGTTAGCGAGAAAAACGGCGTCGTAGTGTTTTGAGGGAGAAACGGTGTCGTCTAAGTGTTTCAAACACATCATCTGAGAGATAAGTCTCCGACAGTAAATACAACTCTCAAAAGTGTAATCTTATTTAGATACGTGCGCTGCTACACTTTTTACGTGTTGACTACTACTACTTCTTACAATAACCCTCTGAAACATCTTTGGATCATGAGCAAATGATCCGTAGCCACGTGATCCTGTCTCACATTTGAGAACCCACGTGTTCAGATCTCTGATCCATCTCAAAGACTATTACCTTTCTTCCTTCTTCCTCCTTTCATCATCATCAATGGCGACAATGAGCAAAACCCATAGGGTCAAAACCACTCACGGATCCAAAAGACTTGTTCTTTTATCTATACTCGCCTTAGCCGCATTGCTCTTCCTCCTTTTCTCTTCGGGAGGATCTGGTCGGAAAACTCTAGTTGATTACTTCTCGAGGTCTTCTCGTGTCAAGAGACAACACAGCTTGTGGGACAAGTACTTGTACTGGGGAGACAGAGTCGATTGTCCTGGCAAGAACTGCGAGAGTTGTGCTGGTTTAGGTCACCAAGAATCTAGCCTTAGATGCGCTCTTGAAGAAGCAATGTTTCTTAACAGGACGTTTGTAATGCCTTCTCGGATGTGTATCAATCCAATACATAACAAGAAAAGTGTAGTCAATGGTTCCGACAATGAAAGGTGAGAGACATTTATCTTCAAACTAGTTACTTGTTTTTGTTATGTTTTGGTACTTTATATGCTTTTTTGTGTGTGTTTTTAGTTGGGAAGTGAGCTCTTGTGCAATGGAGTCATTGTATGACGTTGACCTCATCTCTGAGAAGATTCCTGTGATCTTGGATGACTCGGAGACTTGGCACATTGTGTTGTCGACAGGTATGAAGCTGAAGGAGAGAGGGATTGCGCATGTGAGTGGAGTTAGTAGGTGTGAGCTTAATGACTCTAGTCACTATGCAAATCTTTTGCTTATTAACCGAACCGCAAGTCCTCTCGCATGGTAACCAAATGTTTGAAATGACTAGTCTGATGACTTGAGCTGTTGATTCAATAGCATTATGTTGCTTATATCTTCTTGGTGTTAGGTTTGTTGAGTGTAAGGATAGGATTAATCGTAGAAACGTCATGCTTCCTTATTCATTTCTCCCTAGTATGGCAGCACCAAGATTGAGAAATGCTGCAGAAAAGGTTAGCTTTGAAAGAGTATAGTTGAAGTTTTCTTTAGCTTTAAGATCAAGTAATGTTGGTTGAACAGATAAAAGCACAACTCGGTGACTATGATGCAATCCATGTACGTCGAGGTGACAAACTAAAAACAAGAAAAGACAGGTTTCGTGTTGAAAGAACTCAGTTTCCACACTTAGACAGAGACACACGTCCAGAGTTTATCATGAGGAGGATACAGAAGCAGATTCCACCAGGTAGAACTCTTTATATCGGTTCTAATGAGAGAACCCCTGGATTCTTCTCGCCTCTAGCTGCCAGGTAACATTACAGAGGTGGTTTACTACATGTTTAGATGTTCTTGTAAGTTGCTTAAGACTCTTGTTTATATTACAGGTACAAGGTGGTTTATTCATCGAATTTCAGTGAGATTTTGGATCCTGTAATTGAAAACAACTATCAGTTATTCATGGTGGAGAGGCTGATAATGATGGGTGCAAAGACGTTCTTCAAAACATTTAGAGAGTATGAAACGGATCTTACTTTAACGGATGATCCCAAAAAGAACAAGAACTGGGAGATACCAGTTTACACCATGGATCAAGACAAGAACTAGAGACTATGCAATGATCCACACAAGAGTCCTTATACTTCACCAAAATTTGTGTATGTATAATGAGAAACCAGAGGCAAAGAGTTACTTAAGAATTTTTTTCTTGCTTCCTGGTTTATCTGTTATGTGTATGTATATCAACTCATTAATTATAAGCAAGTTTCCACAATGACTTTTTTTTTTTTTACCAAATCTTTAGCAAACTCAATGTTCAAGAAATAGTTTAGATAATAGTTAACGTTATATAATAGATTATTGATTAGACGGACACCTAGACCAACTTTTTAAACCTTTTTAGAGAGCATTGAGCAAACTTATCTCCTAATCCATGAGAAATGTAATTTGCTGTGAAAGATCAGTAAGCTACTATGAAGATTGAAATCATTTAGAATAGCCTCTCCAAATATATTTCAAATCTGCAAGAAACGACTAGCAAATCTGCACTACATAGACACAAACCTACAAATGTAGTTCTAACATACAACGGAAGAGAAAAGAAGCAAAAAGGAAACCTAAAAAAGAAAGAAAAAGGAGAATGCAAATCAGATCGTTCGCTGGACATATTATCATCAAGGCAATGCCACTTCCGTTGTTAGAACGCAGCAGAAGAAGAACACCTCTCCTGTCTGCATCTCGAATGAAATCTTTCGTATGAAAGGTTTAGTGAGAGTGTGCTTCAAGAAGAATGTTGGTGGCTGCGTTGACATCGTTTCTGGCGTGTACAAGGGCCTGCCTAGCTGCGTTCTGGTCAAATCCCATAGATACTAGAGTAGCTATAGCTTCTTCAGATGGCTCTATACTTGACGGCACCGGTGCTTGATAAGATCTCTATAAAAACTCAAACAGAGCATGTCAGCAAAATGAAGATGGGTTTCAAGCAAAGAAAAACAAATGTTGCAGAGAAAAGAAAAATGTAAAGACTTGCCACTGCTTGGCGACCTAAGCTGGGTGATGTCCTTCTTGGTGCTTGAGAATGGCTGCTCGACGATGGCAAAGACATTCGGGAAAAGAATGAAGCTATGAACCCAGGGATCTGTGATGTGTTTTAGACAAAAAAAAAACTAGTGTTAGTAAAGTGACAAACACTCCCAAGTTGGATACTGGTAGCAAAAGGTATGAAAGGCATAAGAACCTTGGCCTTGCGGATACCAAAGATGTTCAACCGATACAAGGAACCAGCAATTATTCCACAGATACCAGGTAACATGGGTCTTTTCCAAGAAGATAATAAAAGCTACAAAAATGGAAACCGAGTAACTTGTCTATCTAAAAAGAGGGTTCTAATGTATAAAAAAGAATTGTACAAATAAACATATGGTACTGTTTACCTGGACACCAGCAAGATATATGAATGATTTATCAGAGAAGTGTAGGCCAAATACGTCGAACCTCTTTGAAACAGGAATGTCCAAGTAGAAGGGTACAAAGGAAGCAAATATGAGGGCGTATGGTCCAGATGTCAGTAGGTTTGCTGTAGGGTCTACAAACATAAACAGATACTTTCATATGCCCACAATTCATAAATGTAATATATTTGTGTTACAGAATGTGTACAAGTCATACTACAAGTGCTTATTTAAGATAACCAAGAAAAACAGCTCTTGATAATATAACTCATGGACCAATAGAAGTGCTTGTAAAAATCATCAACTCATAAATAAAGCTTGACAGAATTTGAAACCAACAAAAGATCATCACTATGCACTTCACTAGTTGGTGAGATTAGCAACCAAGCTGATTTAAGCTTACTTAACAAGTATATTCCCTGACAGTTGTCGGAATTATCGTCAAGTAAATGTACTAACCAAAAACACTGTAGATTTTGAAGATTGAAAGATATTAATACCTTTAAACAGCGACAGTAAGATGGTCTGCAGAATTAGTGATACAAACCCAGAGAACAAGATGAAAACCTGCAGAACGAGTACTAGTTAATGTCTTGTAAGCATAATAGTAGAATTTCAATCGTTAAGAAGTTAAATGCAATCATCATTCTAGTTACCAAGATAAGGGACAAAAATGACTAAGACAAAATAAATCTACCATGAAGATTGAACTGAGCTGAACTATCTCCTTACCGAGTGCTTATTTGAACCAATCTGCCTCTCAAAGACTCGGAAGTAGTAAAGCAAATACACGCCAAATAACAATTGAGGGGTGGAGGAGAAGGCGAAATTCGATTTGATTAGCTTCCAAATCCGAAACTTCTCAAAAATATCCTACAATGACATAGGCAGAAGATTACAAATACATATCATTTTTTTTTTCAATTTTTCATTACAATCACCAGCAAGAGATTTTCATAATACTGTAGGTTACTCTACAGAGACACAGAAACAAGAAGCTTTTAAACAACCAAACATCTTCCAAGGTGCAAGGCTATTGGCATACACAATTAGATGAGCAGATAGAACACATAATGAGCTTAAATCTGTTTATCAAACTATCTAAATATATGACGCCTAATCTTCTTATGCAATCCATCTGTTTAAAGCCTAAAGCTTATGGGTTTAGCTTCCACCTCTCAGTAAAGCAAGAACCTTTGAAACTAAAAGTGGAAACCTAACATAAACCAAATCAGATCCTAACTCTTCTGTAAAACCTATAAGAGCTTGAAGACATATTTGAAAGGAGATTCAGTACCTGGTAAGTCAAGGAGAGCTTGGAAGAGCCTCCACGGATCCCGAAGAAGACAGTGAAGAGGACGCTCGTGATGACGAAGGCTCTCGTGACCGGAGCATTATCTGCAAAAGTTGGAAACTTTCGATCACTAATCAAAAACCCATGATCAAAAACACACAAATAGTTTCCCAGAAGCTGATCGAACGTACTGAAACCAGAAGGACCTCCGTTCATCGTGTAATCAATCGGATGAAGGAGAAAAGTCAATAATCGCGGGAGGAAGGTCGTCGAAGTGGGAATGAATCTGGGAGTGGAGATGGATCGAGGGGGGGGTTTGGATTTCTCCTCGACTCGTCTCCGATTTGTGTTTCCTCTACCCTAAGGAAAAGGATGGATCTTTCCTGGAATTTTCAGTGAATTCTAACAATCTTTAGAAGTCAGACGATAAAAAATAATTTTATACACAAGTTTTATTTTTTATTTTTGTCAACAAAACAGGTTGTTTTTAGTGAAAACTTTATTCCTTTTATTTCTTTTTTTTTTGGTCAATTATTCCTTTTATTTCTAGAAAATTATTTTTCGTTTAAAACAAGCAAACATCTTAAAAGAATAATTAACGTTAGATAATCTATCTATACTATTATTTGCGAAGTGATTTTTCTATACTATTATTTGCGAAGTGATTTTTCGCAACGGAGCTCTCACGTTAAAAGTTAGAGTGGTTAATATCGATTATACCCTTAATGAATAAAATATATAAATCAGCCAAAAATAAAATGAATCTATACTATTATTTGATTAGATAAATGATTAAAATTAATAATAATGATAAGAATTATCGATAATCTAAATATATATTTAAAAGAAAAATACAATTCCTATATACACTGTGTTGTTATCCGGAAAATATATTTTTAATAAAAAAATTTCAAAAACACATAAATAATTATTCATAAAATACAATTTTTAATTGTATATAATTCAAAAGAGAAAACTAAATCTATCCTATTATTTGTAAAGTGATTTTTTGCAACGGAGCTCTTACGTTAAAAGTTGGAGTGGTTAATATCGATTATATTCTTAATGAACAAAATATATAAATCAGCCAAAATAAAAACGAATTTAATAATTATCTAATTAGATAAATGATTTAAATTAATAATAATAAAAATAATTATCCATAATCTAAATATATATCAAAAAGAAAAAAGTTAATTCCTATATATACTGTGTTGTTATCCGGAAAATATATTTTTAATAAAAAAATTCAAAAACAAAAAACACATAAATAATCATTCATAAAGTAAAATTTTTAATTGTATATAATTCAAAAAAGAAAATTAAAAAAAAAATATAATACGTAATTATTTATTAAAAGAATATAATAATATAATATAATAAAATGATATTTATATATATATATATATATATATATATATATATATTTGTGAAGTTATTTTTCTCCTCTGAACTCACATGTTAAATTAAATATATATTTATATTTTATATAGTTAAACCTTAAACATGAATTAATCATATAAAATAAAAGATCATTAAAAAAGAAAGAAAATACATGTTTGATAAAAATAAATTCAAATATATTGTATTATTATCCAAAGTAATGTTATTTTTTTTGTAAGATCAATTTTTGAATGTATATTTATCGATTCAATTTTTCAAATGGAAAGATAGATTTCTTTATTTTTTATCTATTAAGGAGAAATGAAATAGACTTTAGATTTTTCAAAGATTTAAAGGAAAAAAATAGTTTTTTTATTTTGTGAATAACTTAGGAATGTAGAAAAGTTTAATATTTTAGGTCAAATTTTTTGTATGCAAATAATCATTTATTTTGATAATTTTTTTAATTGATTTAAAGATAATTAAGCCCGCATGTGCAGGCAAAACACCTAGTCTTCAATAAGTCTAAACTAATCACTTCAAAGTTATATATAATTATTGTTGATAAATATTTTTTACTATACAAATTTTGTTACTATTAACTAAAAAATGTACATAATTTTTTTTTAAAAATAAGATATTTCGTCCACAGTTACGAGCATAAAAAATTTATAATTAATTATGAATATATATATATTAAATAAATAATTATAATGATAAATTATTATTTATTTTCTAATTGTAAAATTGTATTTATTCTAATAGTTTTAAATTGTTTTATATACTATATGCAACATTAATAAATAAAACTTAGAAATCACTCAGTATTATATTTTCAATTATATTAATTAAGTGTTTATATTGATTAATATATTTTTTTGATTAACATATATTTTAGGATAACAACACAATATATAGTAATTATCTTTATTTAGAATAATTTTATTATTATTAATGTTATTTTATCAAAAATAGTTAAATTCGTTTTTATTTTAACTAATTTATATATTTAATTGATTAAAGTATAAACTATATTTAATTTTTAATGTGAAAATTCTATTGCAAAAAAATAATTTGGCAAATAATAGTATAGATTAGGAAAATAGAAATAAATCAGAAAATAAAATAAAAATCAGCATACAATTCGGAATATTTTTTCCTTTGAGAATAATTTATCAGAATATGGTATAATTTCATTAAATAATATTACAGATAAGACCCTTACTTTTCATTGGCTTGTAAATCTAACACTCTGTTTTAAGTGCGATAAACCCTTCTTTCTCTAAAACCTATGCATACTCTGTTTTTGTTTTCGTCAAGCAAAGCCAAATTAATTACTTTCTCTCTGCTTTCTTTGGGAGTGTATAACTTTTGTTACAGTCAAAGTAGACATTCCCAAATTAATTAAATGAGATTGCAATTTCTTAAGCAAACTCCCCACCACAATCAAAATAAAAATACGTTTCTAAAACTGACTCTATAATGTTAATCTAAAACTTGTTCAGGCCACAACCGCTTCCATGTAGAAACCTCTTCCTCTGTACACAATTTCTTTACACCACCGTAAAAACCACCGACTTCATTTCCCGTCTCACGGTGTTCCTTCCTATTCAACACCGTCGTTTTCCACGGCGACTCAGTTCTGAACTGTCTAAACTCCATCACCACATTCTCTGCCCAATATAGAAAAACACACAGAACCATATATTAATTCCATTGTTAACAACTCAATATTTCTAAAGTAATAATAATAAGTTTCATATATGTTACCGTCAGAGATGCAACGGCAATTCTCTTCTCCAACACAGTTTTGAAGGTGACCCACAACTCCGAACCACCAACCATAAGGGAACTCTTTAGTTCTTCTCCATTGGATCTCAAAATGGTCACCGGGTCTTAGTCCCTGCAGAGAGTCAGATACGTGTAGGTCACGTGACTCTGTCTCGATCATGGCCGGTCTCAGTCTCTGCCATGTCACGTTTTCCTCCGCGGCACGTCGACCATGCGCTGAGTATCTGGAAAAAAATGAGGAATATTAAGGAACACGACACGAGAGAAACAAGTTTTCTAGAGTATTAATCTTTACCTTGCTTGAAATGTATCCGTCTTGTAATCGTATCTGACTTTAGCATCGTAACACGACATCATGAATCCAACATGTCCGTTCTGCATCAAACCAAACTTATATTTTACTCCCTCCTTTCCTAAATATATTATGTTTTGTAGAGTTTTTATGTTTCAATATAAAAGATATTTAAAAAAAATATATATATATAAATGATGTTTTATATTAATTTTAGTATTATTGAAACTTTGTGGCCAATTTGTTATCCCTATTTTTTCTATAACTGGTCGAGCTAGTTTTGATTTTATAAATAAATTCAATGATATATTTTTTAGAAAAAGAATATCTTGATTTTTGTGCTTTTAGCCAAAACATCATATAATAGCAGTATCATCTAAACCCTGAGAACATCAAACCTTTTTATTCATTATTCGATTTTTTATTAGAAAAAAAATAGAGATGGGTTAGAGATGTTATTACCTCTCGGTTGTAGACTTGAGCAGGAAACCAGAACTTGCCACTCTCAAGATTAGAGTACCAATACATCAAAGAATCAATAGGAGATGATGATGATGAACATCTGTTGTAGCAACCATGGTTTGTTTTTAGCCATGAAAAAGGTTTAAGATTCGCAGCAACTCTCAAGCTCCATTTTTGTGTGTTACTTCTACTACTGCTTGGATTCGAGTTTCTGAGACATGACATTAACGTGGCGACATGAGTTTTCCACTCTTTAACCGCCGCATCACCCATTAATCTCCCCCATTTCTTCTCCATGTGCTTCTTCCAAAGATGATCGCTCACACATCTATCTCTTAGCTCAGAGCAAACACAACTCATAGCACATAGCTCAGATGGAGAAAGCTTCTCCAAGATGCAGTCTAAGGTTAAGTCAGGCAAATCCAACAAAGACATTTTGTTTTCAGCATCTTGATTCTTCTTCATTCTTGTTTTCCTTCTCCATGCTAATGCTGTTCTTAATCCATTAGAATAGATAATGTTTCTTGCAAGCCAAGAAACTATAAGTAACCCACAAATAGTGTTGGAGAAACAAAAGGAAAGGATGTTGAGGTACTTGTTCTCCATTGAAAACAAGAAATGGTGTAGAAAAGAGAAAGAGAGAGACAATAACATAAGTTGCTACAGAGAGATAAATTTAAAAGGATCTTGTATTTGCCTTTAGAGTGATTCGATTCACACGCAATTCAAGAGGAGCTGTCTCATGTGCTCACGCTTTGCGTGTGTTTTTTGTATATTTTACAAGTATGAAACAATAATATGCAAGGAGTCTTGAAGACTAGTTGGGTTTATAATTTTGTAAAGACTCGTTCGTTGCGAGTCTATTTAATTTTAAAACATTGAATTGGGTGAGCAATAAATAAATACTGGTAAGAGTTAGGTGGGGGGAAAAGAGGAAGAACCAATGTCGTTGGTTTGGTCATTAAGACTCCAATGACATTACCATGAGAGATAATGACTGACCTTAAAGAGTTTCTGTCCTGTGTGACAGCTGGTGCTCGGTGCACCAAACTTAATCTTTAAACTATTACTATAATTATCAACAACATCTAATGGATTCGTAAACGCCTTCCCAACGTTTTTTCTACCAAATTTCCAACTACTTTCGTGTGTATGTTTTAAAGATTATGGAACAAAAAGTGGGTTAAGGGATCTATCCACGTTATCTTAGAAGTCTTAAAGCCACAATCTCACGAAATTAAGACCGACTTTGGTCAACTCCTGTTGGGTGGTAACTCAACTAAAAGTGAAGTGGACTATACGACAAATGTAGTTGATTAGGTTTGAAAAAAAAATTCTTCTTTTTATTTCTAAAGTAGTGAATCAAAGCACATTTAAGTTAGAGAAAACTTAAGGGTGTATTAAAGCCTCACATGGCCTTAAACCAATTGCCTAAGCTGGTGTTGTTGACAACTTTTTATCAGCAGTACCAGGAGAAAAAAAAAACAGACTAGACTGAAGCTTCTGAAACCTTCTTTTTGACATGTCTCTGATGCAAGTGCGTTTTAATTTTTAAATCATAGCCATTTCATTACCAATTCACGGTTCACCTACTATCTCTAACTACATTTGCAAATTTGCATACTAATTACTGAACCAGGACAATTTATCTACTGAAATTTGGTCCAATAGGCCTCTTTTATTTATTTTGCAGATATGGATTTTGAGAATCGTTAATGGAGAAGGTTTTGATTTTATAATCCAGTCCAATGGGCTTCTCAATCAAAGAAACATAAAACGTACTACTGTCTTGGGTGTAATGTTTTCAGATTTAGAATTAGTTAATTCAATCCTATGAAAAAATTGTTTACTCAAAACATAGACAAAGCATATAGATCAGAAAATATAAGATAAGATCCTAAAGTAAATTTAGTACTCCCTATTTACAGCGACGAATAACAACGAACAAAACTTAAAAGGATCGATCGAAAAGACTACTTCTGGTCGAATTAAAACAGTAGGTCTATCGAACGTTATCAACTTCGTGGACAATAACTCCAAAGCACGTATCAACTTCATAGATTCGATCAGAAGAAGTCCTTTGGATCGATTCGTTTACTTCAAAGTCAACACACATGTCCTCCTCCTTACGATGCAACCCTAAGCCTTTTTACTTTTTACTTTTTTGAGTTTCCAATCCTTTTACTTCTTTTTTTTTGTTTCAACAATTTATTCGGTTGTGATTTAAATATTTCATCGCCATCAACGTGGTTGGTCATTAGCTAGCTAGATATAAGCAAAGCTTTGGGCGACAAACTCTTCATTTTAATTTCAAGCATTTTATATGGAGAAAAATGTGTGTCGTTTGGAATAATGAGATTTTTTTTGGTAATCATATCAAATTGGATTAATGAGATTGATAACTATAAAATTATAAATCATCAGTGATAGATTTTTTCTTATATTTTTAACGATATGGGTTACTTTCTTATTAAACCGGGTAATATATATTGTTGTTATAAAAAAATATTAAAATTTGTTAACTGATACTCCATATTTTGTGAAGAAAGTGTACACGACTGTAGTAGATAAAGGAAATTATAATCAGGAGTATAAAGGATGGTTGAGATTAGAGAGGTCCCGCCTTACTATTAGACCGATTTTAAAAGACCTTTTAATTAGGACCTGACCACACAGCACATACCCCCAGTGCCCCCTCCTTCCCACTAGTCCACTTGGGCACCCTTCATTTAATGTCAATCACTTCTCAAATTGTAAGTTTTTTTTTATCTTATAATCTTATACTACATTTATACTGTACTACAGTAGTACAGTACACTACTATTGGTTTAAATATTTGGTAATTAGTTTTACTAAACTAAAAATGTTTTGAAAATTTACGAACAAAGTACATACTAATTCTTTTTTTTTTTTTGAAACATACTAATTCAGTAAGTTGCATATATATCGAAAAAGATGAAGAGGTTATTAGCATTTGTGTTTTGTATCTCCATTAGTAAACCTATGAGACTCGATTCTCAATGTATTTTTTTTTTCTCTGTTTGATTCTAAAAAAACAAAAAAAATCATGAACTATTCGCAAGTTTTTTCTGTTTGATTTAAAAAGAAAAAATTAAACCATTCATGAATCGCCACGTGGTGTAGAGTCCACGAAACAATGGTAAACCGAGTTCACTATGAAAAATTTACAAAAAACAGATCCAATACTATTTATTATTTTAATTATTTTTTTTTTAGAAAACGCATGAATCTACATTCGAATTTTTGATAGAGTGGTCTAACATGTTCACTAGCTAACAGTACGTTGTAATCCCAGTTTCTTTTTTCAAACCATTAACAGTGCACCGTTTGGGTGGTCTTATCACCTTTCTTGTCCGAAGATTATTGTTGATAAATGCTATTGGGTGAACTATATTAGTTTTAAATATGAACCTAAATTCATAGTATATTAAAGATGTAAATTCATGAGTTTTATTGGTAACTTAGCAAACAATACGTAACGAACGTAAAAAATTATTTAACATATAACGTGCTAAGCATGCCGAACAAATACGGTAAAAAAAGAATTAACGTACACAAAGATACGTACCTACGATACGAACTTGTCGGTTAAAAAGAGTCGAGAAAATATCCATTTAATTTAGGGTTAATGCAAAGACGGATAAGTATCAAAGTGATGGAGTCCTTCCATGGTTCCCGCTAAGGTAAATTCGTTTTTTCTTCTCTGTCTTCCGTATTTGTGTAATTTGTCTTCGGCTACAGTTATAATTAAGGTGGTGACATCACTATCATCGGGTCAAGTGACGTCATGGCGTCTATGTGTCTAAGTCACCGATATAGACGTGGCGCTTCTGTGGACCCTAATGGTTAATTTGCCGACGGCGGCTTCCACTTCAACTTCACTCACATTTTTTTCTGTCACACAATTGTTTGGTGCGTACACAACACGTCGAGGAGTCTACAAAAGCCTTGGATTAATTCTGATTAAATTGATTAGTTAACTGAGAGTTATATTTTTTTAACTAATTAATAAATACTCCTTCTATTTTATTATATATATTATTTAAATTCATACACACGGATTGAGAAAATCATTAATTTGTATATTTTCTATATAAGAACATAATTACCTATACATCTAAACCATAGATTAACTAATAGAAAAATAAATTGTATAATAAAATTAATAAATTTTACACTAAAAATTGAAAACAATATTTCTTTTGTAATGAATAAATTCTCTAAAACGACACTTAATATAAAATAGAAGAAGTATAAGTTAAAAGAAACATTTTATGCAACTTATGTTTCCTTTGTAATTTTTATTAACATTTAATGTATAGCCATATAGAACAATTTGGATCACCATTTTAGACTGTTAGAATTTGAAGTACCTATGGGGTCAATTTCAAAACACTAATAATTATTTTTGTTGACATACTTAAATAAGCATGGTCAATAGATTAGCAATCTTGTTTTGTTTATGCATTTAAAAATTGGCCATGTCAACATACTATATCAGATAGTACCGTATTTATACTTCCAAACTAAAAAAAAATAAAACATTGGTGTATAGGTCTGAAAAGATAAATGAAATAACGGTGAGAGAAATAGTAATAAATCACCTTTGTTAAAAGCAAAGCTACTTTACTAATCACATGCAGAAATAACGGTGAGTAAAAGGAGTATACTCCGCGTTCACTATACGCGCCGTCGGCTAACAGCAGCCGAGGACTCAATGGGACTTGTGACACTTGTCATTACATTTTTGTTTGCTTCCCTTGGCATTCATTCCCACTCTCCACCCTAAAAAAAAGCTTATAGTAGTATTTATATATTTGGGCTAAAACATGAGACCTCACACTCTGGATATTATTTTTCTTTCTTCCTTTTAGGTTCTTTACAAAGAATCAAGAAGATGAAATCATCATCATCAACGTTACTCACAAGCTTTAACCAGAGACAGCCATCTTCATCTCCCACAAAAAAACCACCGAAGCAAAAGAGGAAAGCAACAACTACGAACGATAACAAACCCATCAAAGTCCGTTACATATCGAATCCTATGAGAGTGGAGACTTGCCCTTCTAAGTTTAGAGAGCTTGTTCAAGAACTCACCGGTCAAGACGCCGTCGACATACCTCCTGAGGCCACCACGTACGCCGCCGCAGATCCTCAACAGGAGGAGATGAATCCTGAGCCTTTGGATGAAGGGGTCCGTGAGTATTATTCACCGTTGGATGAAGAAGTGTTTAATGCTCCTCAAATGTCGGCAGGTCTTTCTGCGTTTTTCTCCTCTGGGTTTTATAATGTCAATGTGAATGCCTTTGGAAGCATTGGCTCTCTCTGAAAATCTTATATTTTTTAAAAAAAATGGTGTCACACCTATCAGGAGAAGAAATCGTCGTATAGTTTAGGGTTTCGTCGATACCTAAATATATATAACATATCTTCTGTTTTTTTTTTTTTTTTGTGGGGAATTATTTGCGTTTGTGAGTAAATATATCTTGTTCATTTCAAGGAAGAATTATTGCATTTGTTTAATGATCGAAATTCTAAAGTAACATATCAAAAATTTCATTATTGAAACATACTGTATAATATTTAATCTTAACTTGGGTGGTAATATTCTATAACGATGTAGAAACTGATCAGGAATGTAACGGCAAAAAGAAACATTTAAAGCTTTTATGTCATTAGGACGGTAGTATAACATTTGGATAGATGTGTCATGTATGATGATGCATCACTTCTCTTTTTGGATCTTGCAATTTTTATTTTGGATGACCCCATCTTGAAGACTTGAACTATGTAATAATAATTATTGTTAATTTAAATCTCATGATTTCTTCCAAACAAAAAAAACAAATCTCATGAAAGCTGATTTTGAGTCTTGATAAGGTTATAGGCCGAAGCCTGAAAACTCTAATACAGTAGTAACTACAAAAGTTACATTCAGTAGACAAAATAAAAACAATCAATATTCATAACAAAAGTCAAGTAGCAATGGAAATCTTTATATGCATAAACACTTTATTGGTTGAACAATTAAAACATTTGGCAAGACCGACAACTTCAAGTCTTGCTACTTCCTTCCACAGGGACTTGTCGGTTATGATGAGACTTGGGATATTTGGGTAAATGATTAAATCATTAAATGAAGAATACTAATCATGTTTTCATATTGGCGCTATAACATTTACAATTGTTCGATTAATCATGTGTACACCTTGAGCAAGCAAAAACGTTTCCATTATACGACAATATTTAAGTTTATAAATTTTGATTAATTATTTTAAGAATATTTCGAAACAAAAAATTATTTTTTTGTGGTTCTTAAATTATGGCTTTTTCTAAGATTTTTTGGGTCTATGGGTAGAGTGACAAATCTAGGAATGATAATTTCGAAACAAGCGACGCCCAATATTCCACTGTCTTCTTTCTAAAGTTTTAATGTTTGCGAATATAGTCAATTCACGTTTAAAGAGAAGAAGATGCCCACAAAAATAAAGAAAATACACAAAATTACAAAAAGTAAACATGACAAACTTTGAGAAAGAAAAACCTTTCACTAATCTTATTACCTTGAATCCCAAATCAATCTTAAGAAAGATTTTATTAGCATAAACATAAACATTAAACTAAAAAAGAAAAGAGACTCTGGTGGTTCTTCATTCATAGTTCTTAATGATCTTTGAAACTGAAGAGTATGTCCCCAAGGTCCCACTTACCACACCAATCGCCACTATTATCCAACTCAGAATTATCTGGTATCACATATCACAACACAAGTCAGTGTTAATCACCCCAAAACTATTTTCAAGAACTGTCAAGAAGAGACTAAAAACCTCAGTATATATATATATACCTGTGTTCTTGTAGCTTTGTTGCCCATTATCCTCATGAAGCATAGAGCTGGCATTATCATTGCCTGAACCACACAGACAATATAAAGTTTAAAGACTTATATGCCTGTCCCAATTCAAAGAGGAAGCACTTTTGTGTATCAAGGTTTTTTTTTGTTTGAATAAAATTTAACATTCTTTCCAAAAAAAAAAAAAAAAAAAAAATTAGATCCATGAATGTGTGTCTTGATAAGAATAATGCTCTTAGAATATTAAGTAAATAGAGAGATTAGAATTGATGAATACTAACCACGAGTATACTGAGTATAGATCCTATCAGAGCCATCACAAGACCTAAAACCCAATTTGCAACAAAATAATATTGAGTCTTAAGCAGCAAAACCCATGACCTTGATAAGCTTAACGTTCTTACCAAAAAATGGAATAAGGAAAGCAGCACCAACGGAAGAAGCGACCAGTGCCGTTCTTAGAAGAAGAAAGCACCATATGTTCTCTGGCACTCCTTCTGGTAATAATTCTTCTATACCCCTTGCTAGTGGGTTCATCAGAAGAGCGAATTTTGTAAACGGACTCGCAACCTAATGATTGAAAAGATAAAAACAAAACGAAGAATCCAAGATGAATTAAGTGTTTAGTGTCTAAGAATGCAACTTCCAAATATGATGGAGAGGGAAACAACTAACCGTTGTCCATTGAGCCACTTTCGAAAAGAACAAGTCCTTTGGCATGTTTAGTGTAATTTGAGACAAGGTGGCTTCACCAAACATGAGATAACCCATGATTCCAACTCCTCCATAGAAGAAAACACATAAAGCGAAACTGCAACGTAGCCATACACAACATCAACAACAACAAAGAAACTCTTTGATTCAAGAACTAGATCAAACCATCAAAAATTTGGAAATTTTATTTTGTTTACGTTGTGATCACTGCTTTGGTGAATTTGGTTTTATCAGCCATGGATTGGTATATATTTGGGAACACAGAATGTCCTGAGTAGCAAAATCCATAGATACCAATAGCAAACGGTACTCCATTCCATTTCACAGCATGACCAGTGTGATGAAACCCGATCCCGCCCGTTGCCCCGAGGAAAAACGTGCTCAATGCTATCAAAACACTTGCAAGAACTCCACCAGCTGTTGAACCAAAGAAGCTGATTCAAGATTCTTGACTAAAAGAATAAATGTAATAAAAAGAGAAAAGAGCAGTTCATTTGTACCTGAGAGATAGGAAATGATGCGAAGATCCTTCAACCAAACAGTTGGAAGAACGATGAGAGCAGTCAAGATTCCAAATAAATGCTTAGAGTCGATATGGATACCAAGCAAATCCACTGATGTACCAGGGAAAAGCCCGGTTAGGTTATCACCTTCCAAGATGATGAACTCCACACAATATGACTACAAAAGTAAATACACAAAAATTCTATATTAAATTCACATTGTGCATACAGAAACAAGCTTTAGAAAGAAACTTCACTTACATATAGTTCCGTGTACAATAGCACCTGCGAGAAAAAATTGCAAATGTTATAACAAATGCGAGAAGATAACGCCAAAAGAAAACATAAATGAAAAAAATAAGAACAACATAGAGAATTAACATGATTCTTTTTTTTTTTTTTTTGAAAAAATGTTAAATTTTATTTCAAAAAAAAAACTTATTACAACAAGTGCAACCAAGATTAATATCTAAAATATAATTCCAAACAGCAAAAGAAACCCAAAACCTACAAGAGAATTAACATGATTCATCCAAGCTACGTCCACATAACATAGTCAACTAGTCATACTATATTGAAAACATATCAGCCTAACAAAAAAAATTACATATATTAATATATAGAATATTAATTAGTGACTTACACAGATGAGAATACGACCAGATATACCAAATGCTGCTTCTCCAATATCAGGATAAGTGATGATACCAGTCTTGTTCTCGAAACACTCTTTCATCAAAGTAGCAGTGTAACAACATATAACAGCAAACAAGAGAAGAATCACCATCCCTGCCCAACCAGCTTCTCTCAATGTATAAGGTGTTGAAAGAAGTCCAACTCCAGCCATTACATTAATCGCTATAACCAAATACAATGTTAAATAATCAAAAAGTCATAAGGGGTGACGATCTATTTCTCCCTCAGAACTATTGTATAAATATTATTTTCTAGGGGTTACCATTGAAAATGGTTTGAGTTAAGCTGCAGCCATAGCCTCCAATGGCTAACTCTTCAGCAAAGGAGCCTCTACGAGACCAAACAGATTGTGCAGCTGAGGCTTTGTCGGGTTCTTCATACCTCTCAGGGAGGAAAGGAGCTTTAGACTCAACATCAAGATTACTTCTGCTCTGTCTGTAGAAACTCGGCTTTTGACTCGTATTGTAGAAACTGGGATTACTCCTTAGAGATCCGAAGATTGGTGATGCAGCTATCGTGTACGAATCAGTCGTTTCCCTGATTGAATCAAATGCAACAAGATCAGATGTGTATTGATCTTTTTCACAATCTTTACAAAGAAAAAAAAACGTTGATGTTAATTACCTAAAGCTCTGAGGCCATTGAACCTGAGAAACGAAAGTGTCCTCGTTGTTGTTGTTGTCGTCATCAGCAGGAAGATCTGCGACATCGCTACGATCAGTTTCGCTGTCGTTCTCGTACTTGCTGCTGTCTTCATCGTCATCGTACGTAAACTCTGGTTTCTTCTCCATTTTGCGAGTGTTTTTTTTTTTTTTAGAAGGAAAGAAATGGTAGAAGATATATAAAGAAAGATCACACGCGAAAAGGAAATAGGATAAATCAGACAAGATCTCAATCTCCTTTGATTGATGTTTTTTGTTTTGTTTTTGAGACAGAGAGTGGGATCAAGACGTTTGCAGAGAGAAGAGAGGAGAGGTGGCAAGAGAGACGAATGGGAAACACTTAAAATTCTTTGACTCTGTTTTGCGAGTTACCTGCCTTGTTATAAGGCGGGAAGTGGTGACTTGGCAGCAACGGTGGAGATTTTAGAGTATTATTTTTAAGATTAAAATAATGAAAAAAGTTAAAAAAGGTTATTTTTAGCAAAAAAGTTTATGATCTAAAAAAAATCAAAAGATTAATTAGATATGTATTATTTTCTGATTGATTTAATATTTTGTATATAAAATTGAATTGTGTTAATATTATATAGATAAGATATTTTGAGCAAGTTTGTTTTTAAAGAAAGAAATCAGAATTTTAAAAGCAAATTGTGTAAGACAATAACAAGTGTTGAAGTGAGATGAGTTTGGATCGGCGGGATGCTGACTTTTAAAAAAAAAACTAATTCAGTGTTGAAAATAACTAATACATGATGAATGATACTGGATTCTTATGCTTAGTACTTACTAAAAATTCATTCGTTGATTTGAATCTTAATGTCTCGAAAGAGTCCAAATTAAGTAGAAGAAAAAAGGTTTTGAGTGACGCGAAGTCGACGAGGGAATGGGGTGTAATTGTAATCGTTGTCAGTAAGAAATTGAAATACGTTATCTCTATGTCGTAGCATGTGATTTTATACAAGTGTCAATGCTTCATATGGTCGATTTTTTGTTTTATAATTTGTCCTTTATATGTAATAGTATTATTTTGGCTAACTTTCTCCAATGAACTTTTAAACGTGGACTTATTAAAGGTAGATATGCAAGCCTCTTCCACGTTGATATTTTGCAAAATCAGGTGAATCTCTTCCTTATGATGTTGTATGTCATTATTTAAAAGAAAACCAAAATTTGTTGGTTACAAAAGAAATAGTAACGGGTTATTTGAACTACAATTTGGTTTTTAAAAGTTATATAGTGGCCGCATATTAAAAATACATAACTAATCTTAACAATAAACAAAATAAATAAGAAAATATTATTTCTTTATATAGAAAATGAAATTGACTCTCCATCTTTTAACTTGATCCTTATGTTCACATGCGTCTCTGGTCCAAAGCCAATGTAACATAGACTTCTGATCTTAAATTTATCAGAGTTGTTTATATTATAGACCACATTGTGTCTTTGTCTTTCACTCAGGACACATAGACCACATTAAGTGTTTTATCGGCCACAAATCTTGCGCAAAGGCTCTACCATAGTATCATTATTCATCATCGAGAATTATTCAGGCCTTAGGCCCAGCTGCCCAGAAACAACTAGCCCAGCAAGTGTGTAGTTTCTCTTTGCATAATTAAAGTCTTTTAATTTCTTAGTTATTATTACATTACAAATCTTTACCCGATGTTTTTAATAATTTTAAATAGAATTTGTTAGATGATTAAAATAATTTTATATTAACAATATATAGTTTAGAAAATAAGATAACTGTTATGTATTATGTTGTTATTTTGAAATTATATTTTCTTTTATAAAATTTTAAATTAATAATTAAATATATACGAAACAAAGATATTTGTATAAATCTGTTTTATACAAATATTTTTGATATGGGAGTGTTGTCATTTATAATTTTATTTGATGTTTGATTTAATTTTTTTAAGATATAAATAATAACTTATTATATTGATTTTTGAATTAATAATACATAAATTATTAAATATTCATAAGAAGATTATGTCCGCATATACGGATGAAATACCTAATATAAAATATTTATAATATATTTGCATCTATCACTAGTATAACAGAAAATATCACTAGTATAAAATATGTGTTTATTATAACTAATATTCTTTCTTTTTATTTTGCTGAATTTATAACTATTTATTCTTATGAGAGTATAAACCATTCATCATTACATATCTTTTCATCAATCTCTAAGCCCGGTTTCGATGCCTCTCTAGTAAATCTGTATCTGCTCAATTTGGTTTCCAATTCAACATCTGAGTTAATCGGTATAAAAACTATACGTTGACATATACGATTAGATTCCTATACGGCTATACGTTCTTGACATACTGACAAAAGATCGTAGATTTTCTCTAGCAGCGCATTGTACGTTGAACGCTCAAAATTTTAATACTGCAATTTTCTTGAATTGATACTTTTGTTTGTCCCCCATAGTCCATAGAAAGGTTCGTGTGTGTTGGTTGACAAAATCCTTATTCAGTTGATGTTTATGCCCTTTTGTCTCAGCTCTCACGTGGAAGCAAAACAGAGATAGCTGACACGTGTGAAGGTGCGTGTCTTGATGATCTTAAGTTTAATCGTATTGAATTTTTCCAATCTTTGAAACATAGAAAAATCTCTAAGCACCAACAACTGGAATTGACGTTCACCGCGTACTCACCGAAAAGCAGTAGATGTCAGTTTCCTAATCTTACCAAAAAACAGAAAAAGATATTTAAGATCGGTGTAAGTTCAATGCATGTACGAGGGAAATCGTTACGTCCTCTCTTCTCTTCTCTTCTCTCCTTAACTATACACTGTATTTCCCCTTTCAGTTTTAATTCGTTTTTTGTTTAACTTTCTTGCTACAAATTTTGCAAAATTTCTGCTAGACTTTTGTTTCTAGACGAAATAAATTATTCCCGTATTTGAATGATTGATGTCACATATTTTGCTTTTATGTCTGAAATTTGATATTTTACATTATAATTAATGCATTTGTTTTTAAAATCAAATATAATTTAAAGTAGACATGGTCATGAAATTTGGTAAAACAAAGAAAAGAAGAAAATGTATTTAAGTTTTGATATGTGTAAAATCTTTTTAAAAAGAATAAATAATTTTAAGTGACTACGTAGTTGATTGCAAACTTTTAAAATTAATAAATTTATATATTTCTTAAAAAAGATTTCGAACTTATAATTTATATATTTCATTCCAACCAAAAAAATAAAGAAAATTATGTAATTAAATTTGTTTTCCGTTTTGACTCAATGTGTTGGCTTTATTAGTTGTTTTCTTAAAGTCAACGCCGAATACGGACTGGATCAGTTTGTTCTAAAGTTTGAAGGACCAAACTCAGAGTAAACAAATTAATTTATTTTAAAATGAGTTTGGAGTAAACCAAATTCGTCAAGAGATGCATTTATATATTCAGTCAGCATCCAGTAATTAGTGAATAATGATATTAAAAAGGTTAGTAAAAGTTAGTCGAAAAAAAAGAAAAAAAAAAGTAGATGAAAGTTCAATTTCGTAGGACCCACGAAACCTCCCATTGTAAAGCATTGACGTATAGAAGGTCTCAAATAAGGCGAAGAAGGAAAGACCCTGGAGAAAACAAACAATTGATGAAAACTTTTCTCGTGAATTATTGAAATTGAATCATAAAAGCAGCATCAGCGATTTAGCGGTAGTATGTACAAACTACAAAGTCTTAGCATTAACTCAATGAATTAATTAGATGAATAGATTCGACTCTTCCCAAGAAAACTCTCTCAAAAATACGAGACAAGTATCAACACATAATTAAATTAGTTTTTAAATATAAATTTAGTTAAATTACTTAACTATACTCAGGACTGACTATACTATTAATGTATATATGTATATAAGATATTGGTTGAGAATTTTAATGGCTATTGATGCTCTAAACACTATTAGTGAAATTTGTCAGATGAGCTTTTCCAACTACGTCCATATACGATCAAATGCAAAAGTTCATATATCTAATTAATTTATCAGATGAACTTTTTCTCTTCCTTTTATTAGATGAGCTTTTCCTAGAGTTCCTTTGTCTTCGTGTATCAAGATTGTGTTTCTTTGAGTAGAATAACCCTCATTTGATATCTTTTATCTATCCTCTCTTATAACATATATCTATTGATATGATTTTGTTCTCTGTTTTGTGATATTTTGAAACTTTTTACCAATTTGGTTATTAATGATACATAGCATTAGAAAAAAAGTTCCTTTGTCTTGCAACCAAAAAAAAAAAAATTAAAAGGAAGAGATAAATGATTGAGAGATTCTCATTCTCGATATTTGAAAACGTACTTTCCATCTGATATATTTTTATTTGTTTAATTATATAAAGAAAAATGGAAAATAATTACATAATTAATTATTCATATTTGCATTATTTTGAGAAACGCAGAGTATAAAGTTAAATCGAATATCGTTTTGCTAAAGTAAAATTAAATACATATCCTTTTGTGTGAATTAGAACTTTTATTTTAATTACGTCAGACTATCTAAGATTTCTTTTTTGTAACCAAGGCTTACGCAGTCGTATTTTCCTTTTTTCTTTAACGTTTTGGCACACCGTATCAAATCGTTTTACAAAACAAAACAAGGACTCGTACGTCGGGATATTCATTCTCAGTTTTCTATAGAGAGTGAGTTGAGGGAGAAATGATTCCGTAATGAATGAGTGACACGTTACAGTAGTATTCTATACATACGAAGAACAAAATAAACTCGAATTTATGATACTGAATGCATATTTTGTAAATAAAATTGCTTGCATATACTTCTATAACGTATTTTGACAATTCATGTTCAAGTGAAATTTGGAAATTCCGAATCGTATGATACGTACTTATTACGTAAGTTAAGAAGATCACAAATTACACTTTGAATTTTACAGTATTATTTTTATAAAAAAAATTACAGTATTAGACCCGAGCCCACACTTAATGTACTTTTCGTTAGGTTAAACGTAAAGTGTAAGAAGTATTCAATTTAAATTCCCAAAGAAAAGACAATGAAAAAAAAACATTAAAATAAAAAAAAACATCAAATGAAACTGCATGGATTCACAAATTTCATCAAATGGAACAAGAAATTAAAACTCATTAAACGAAGATGCATTTTGTATGCGTGTGTCATCTCGATCGTTGTCTCACAATCACATTACTTGACTAGAGGTAGTGTCAAAAGAAGAAGAAGAGAGAGGAGGATAATAGATGGCTAAGTAAATAAGCATTAGCATCAACACCACCGGAATTCCCATCAGAATCATCGGCGGCGGCGGAAGTGGCGGAAGAACGGCTGGAAGAACCGCCAAGAGCACCATCATCACTACTCCGATCAGAAACATTCCGATGATCCTTATTATATAACTTTGTGAAGCTTCTTTTCTTCCTCTCAAAATCTTGGCATTCAATGTTCCTGCACATATATGTGTGTATATTTATAATAAATTCTGTGTGTAAATATTTTGTCCGTTTTGCTTTTTATGTGTGTGAGAGAAAAAGACGTTAAACTTACAGGTGAAGCTCATGCACTGAGCAGCAACATTCTCCAATTCGTATCCACCCAATGATAAAACCACCCTTCTACCATTTTTCCATTTATATCTTTACTTATCGAACGTCCAACCAACTAGATTTGAGTTTGACATAGACTTAACACCAAAATTACCATTAATTACTAGATTTGTTTTTTCAGTGATTTGTAAAAAAAAAAGATAATATTCTTTAAAACATTATTGAAAGGAATTCCACACAAAAGTGAAACTGTTTTGTGTAAATGCGTGTTTGATAATTTGGTCTTTTGTTAATTTGTGTCAAAAACGTGATACTCTCTTTATTTAAGGACAATTTATCGATCCATGTATACATAGTTTAGTTTAAAACTTTTAATTTGTTTAAATATTTTAAAGGAACCTCTATTTGAAGGAACAATTTTGAAACATAAATATGTTTCAGATTTTACCGATTTGTATGCTTTAGATAATTAAATGTAATAACTTTTACAATTATTTTGAACAAGGTGTATTTTTACATATATCATATGTATTTCTCTTATTAATAATAAAGAAAGTATGTAAAACCTTACCTAGAAAATTTAAACAGAAACGTTAAGAAAATCATAAGTTTTGAAATAAATATTAGTAAAAGATTTCACTACCACCATCAAGAACTAAGCAGTCAGCGTGCCATCATATCCATTGTCGATCTTAAAAATGACATGCAACCATTTAATTAATTCATATATGCCCCTTTTGAGAAAAAATATTTCCTATATGCCTTATGTGGTGAATACATTTCAGAATTTTATTTTTTGATGATTAAATTTCATTTTATTTTGGCATTTTACGTATCAGGTTTTACTCTTTATATTTATATTTTACTCATTGTAGTATTTATTTAACTCGATCTAATCCCTCGAAACAATTATTTTGGGGATATATTGTGAAACTGGATTAATTAACAACAAAAACATTGTGAAATTGTATGTCGACAATTAATAAAGATTGTAAAATCAAATCGTGAGAAAAATATATAGGTTGTTGGAAAAATAAAACTAAGAAACTAAAATAGACTGACGTTTGAATGCGTAGCTGCTAGCTAGGCATTAGTGTGGCGGGTTAAATGATTTGCCATTTATGTGCTTTTAGATGACTAAAACGGTAAGGATGGTTGGTGAATTTAGGGAGAGTGTGCTTGATACTTTGAATCTGAATCACGTCGTACTATGTGTATTTATTTCTTCTTATTCCATATACATTTAACCAAATTTATTGCGATTGTCCGTTTTCATTTTTAACGGCTAATCCTATAACAAAATATGATGTTATAGTATTACTTTATTTGAGGCTACTACATGTTTTTTTTTATAATATAATTTTAGTTAATTGTATTATTTTTATTTTTCTAAATTAATTATGCTTTATTAAAGCTATAGACAACTGAAATCACATTTGTGGGTTTTTTAAATTATTAAAATTGTAAAGATATTTTTATAGGGGTTTCATTATTTGAAAAGCGTGACAATTTAGTCTAGTGATTTAACTAAATGTTCAATATTTATATATTATAAAATATGGCTTTGTATTGAAAAAAAATATAATTATAAGATTTATAGGAAATGTTTATCATGGGATTTTCATCATGGTACATGTAGAACGGTTAGACATATAATACGGGTTCATGATAGTGTGATTAATCAAGAATAATCATAATACAATTAAAATTGTTTCTTATAAAATTATCTATATAACATTTTTCATAGATATATAGATGTAATTACATAATTAATCAGTATTAAGATAAAAAATGATCCCGAAAGCATGGATCTTCTCGTTTCCATATTACCGTCTGGATTTGTGTGTGTAATCCAAGAGAGTACTAATGCTTCAATCTTCGTCGTTTGTGTGTAATCCTATCAAATATTTACAGATGCGAGACCAGTTACGATTGGTGTAGAACGAAACTTAATATTACAAGGTTAACAAAAGTGAGCATGAGTGATTGCATCCGTGAGAGTTTTAATAGTCGTCTGAGGAGCATTGGCTGGGGAAAAAAACTCAATTTAGCTTGCGATGGGAATTTTGGAATTTCATTGATGAGGTTAATTAGTCATAGTATGAAGATCACACATGTTTGAAAACTAATTATCAGAAAAGACAATTATCATATTTAATTATCAGTTAACAAAGAGAGGTTTGTGTTGTATATTGGTTTTCTATCCTTTCCCACCAACTTTTAATATCTTTTCTCATTGCAAAAACTATATATTTCTCTAGATAAACATATATATATATATGTTTTCTTAGTAACTCAGTAATATTTTTTAAGCCCTGTGAGAGCTCTAAATATTTATGTTTGTCAAAATGAGCACGTTTTGTGTCTAGGAATTATATTATGACCTTTTTCCAATGTTATATGGTTACGATCGAGACAAACAAAAAGAACCAGAATCTGAAGACGTATGCATTCATTCTCATTTGAATGTATAGGTGCAGTGGATCTGATTTTTGTGGACAAATGAAATTCCTCTTCGGATGCTTTTTGTTGTTGCGAAGATAGAGACTCGACAAAGCGAAGACCGTTTTATCTTTAATCATTTTATAATTTTATAATTATTTTTGTTTCTTTTTCTCCCTTGAATTTGGTGAAATCTCCTCTTAGTTCTGTGCAAAGTCTCAAATCTTCATCCACACTATTTCCGTGGATAAAATATCTCATGATTCTCATCCATATTATACTCGTACGGTACTTCGCACTGTTTCTCAATGCAAACACACACAAACACTATATATATGATTAGTTTTATTAATGCTAAAATCAATAAAATATAATCCCTCAATTTATCAGAACCACCAAACACTATGGGATTAAATCTAAAACTGTTTTCTTACTAATTAACATAGATGCATGCATGAACCTTTTGAAATCAGTCATCCTTCTATTAAAATTTATATGCTTTGTGTTAAATCTTTAAAATAATATAGTTATTTGTAATTATATCATTAGACCGTTGATAATGCTCATCCCCAACCTATTTTATAATACTACAATTCAAATAATCATATGAGCTTATGACTATTTCACTCGCTAGCCACCGTACCGACAAGTCAAGTATAACTTTTCTATATATTATTCTTCAGTCCACAAATGGCATAAAATAAAATTGTCTTTGACAAAATAAACTGATATACCTGAATTTTATGTTTTGATTTTTTTTTTGTCCTGCTAGGTATATCGAAGGTATGAAACAAGTCCTGGTAAGAATAGTATGCTACTTGCTTTTTAAGTGTTGTTGTCTAAAATTTTGTACTCTAATTAAAAAAGCTGAAATTTATTTGATATCTTTCAAGCAATAGTATTATATTTTAAGGTCAAGCAGAGCTAAATTTCTATTATGGTTTAAATATATTGCAAATATAACATATTATTTTTTAAGAGAATAAGTAAAAAATACTTATTATAAAAAGAAATTAGAGCACAAATCATATTAATACACCAAATTGTTTTTTGTGCACAAGAAATTAAAGCACTAATCATATTAATACACCAAATTGTTAAAACAGGAGAACGAGCATGGAATTTGAGAAGAAAATATCTAAAACAAGTAAAGAAAAAATAAAATAAAGAATGATAATGACTTTTGACCATTTCAAAAGAAGCTAATTGTGTGTCGAGGGCTAGTGACCAATGAAAAATCCATTTGGAAGAATCATAGTATTAGTTTTCAATTTTAAAAACAAAGTTTAGTAGATAAAGAAGCGGGTGGATGATAAAGCTATTAACACAAATAAACAAGTGGTTAGTTTCATTTAACGGTTTTTTTGTTTCATATATTGCTCCAGATCTAATATCAAATGTAGTATTTAACACCTCTCTATGACTTCACCAATTTTGGTTTAATTAGTTTATAATTTTAAATATATCATGAAATTGTATAGTTTTCTCTGCATATATCATCATCTGGTAGTTTAAAAAAAAACATTTAATCTCCCCGCAAAGTGTTATGAATCTATGATAACAAAAATGGAAATAGACACTGAGTTACGAAAAAGAGGAAAGTGATAAACAGAAATGTATACATGCACAATAGCACATAAGTATATGACAAGCAGGCTTCTATTTAATTTCAAAAATATTATTCTACAATTCACAAACTACAAGCATTTTAAAAGAAAAGTCCGAGATCTATCACATGAGACGTTCTTACTTGCACGAAACTAAAAGCCCTTCATTTGCTCCGTACATACACGTATATAGACAAAGTTATACATTTTGTTGAAATGCAATACACCTGTACGGTCGGTGCGGGAAGTAGACAACACCACTGCATCAGGGGTCAAGAGGTTCTACGGAGAGGCTAGGCTCATTAGAAGGAGAAAAGGCCAAGAAAATGAGGAGAATCATGAGGAGGAGAGGGACAAGTAGGAGCGTTGCTGGAGGCGGTGGAAGCGGTGGAAGGAACGGTGGCAGAATCAGAAGAAGCAGAGAGACAAAGAGAAGAACTGCGACGGATCTCGCCGTGATCAAAGAACTTCCGGTCAAACTCATCGGCTTTGGTGTGATGTCAAATCTCAGCCGTTGATTATGTACCCTCATTTTTCATTAGTAATTATCTCTGCGGTCTGCTCTTGTGTCTCTGTGGCTCTACTTATATAGTGGGCAATTGGGATAGTTGGAATATCAATAATGTCCATAAATATTTAAATTCTTTTTCTGTGTATTTCTTTTTTACACCCAGAAGTGTGCATTTTTCATAACTGCCACCTACACAATGTAATAAATCAATGTAACATGTAAAAAATAGTTTATATTTATATGAGGTTTTCAGCTTAATTAATATTTGGCAAAAAAGTTACTTAACCAATTTAATTCGTTTATTGGCTGGCTTTATAAAAAAACTTCTAGAAGAATAAAAGCTAAACAAGTTAGCAAAAAAAGAAGAAAAAAGCTAAACTAATATTTTACTGCAAGCAACGTGAAAAGGTAGATGCATGAACATCCCAAGCTTTATAGGTATGTTGACGGTGACCGGAGGCTGAAATACTTTCCTGTACATTGTTTTTGAAGTTCCCAAGGAGGTTCTTTGTCTAAATTCGCCTTCTTGAGAAAATCACAAACCTTACATAAAAACAATACATGGTTATATACTGCATCTAATAAAACATTTAGACTTTATTACATGATATCACAAATAATAAGGATATATTCTAATTTAACCATAAATTTGATATTATTTTTAAAGGAGAATCATTTTTTATAGATAACTTAAGTTGCGATGAAAAAAACTAATCTAACTATTCTAGATCATCTATGTTTAAAATTTATTTTAAAAAGTTTATAAATACAACCCACCCCTTAAATACTAAAAAAATAAAAATAATTACTCAACTATAAATTCAATTAAAAGAATTTATTTTATTTATGGAATCTATTTTTTTTTTTTTTGAAACTTTGATGTAATGTATTTTGAAAAAGTGATATCCAGTTAATAGTATTTTATATAAATAATATCAATATATATATATTGTATATATACTTACAAAACAATTATACTTCGCTTGTGTTTTATCAGATAAGAACACAGATATTACTAATGTTAATGATCAAGTGTTTTATCAGAATATAACTATAATGTATGAGTTTTAAAATGGACATACATTAGCCTAAATATCAACCTTTGGATATTGACGCTTGTGAAAACAGTGATGCGGTTAATCACGGGTAAACGTATTTCACTAAGAAAAGTTGGGCCATGCCTGTAAAAATTTTCATTCCTAACTGGAGAATGCATTGCACCTAACTGCACTATTTTGTATACTTTCCAGTGTATTTGGCATTTCTTTGGTATTACTATTTGACCATTTGGTTATTTTTAACCTTTTTCCATTTTAAGTAGTTCCGTTCTTTATTTGGTCATTTCGTTCCCAACTTTACATCTTCGTTGATGCAGTCAACCTAGAAAAGTTATATTCCCTTAGTTTTTTGTTACCAACAAAAAAAGCATTGAATAAGTTGAAGAAAGACTAAAATGTTTTTTTTTCTTGATTATATCAGCTACAGTTTACCATTGCAGGTAAAAGAGTATAACTATATGTTAATGCTTGTTACAAAAAAAAAAAAAAACTATATGTTAATGCTACCAATAGAAGACACTTTCTGATTATCTAGACCCATTCTTGGGTTTGGAGTTAGTTTAGGGATCGCACAAAACACATCTAGCTCTTGTACTCAACTATTAACAAACTTTTTTTTACAAAATAACATTATTATACAAAAATAAAACCTTGCTTATAAAGCAGAAGGTACAAATTCATACTACTTCGATTAACCTTGAGTTTTAAAAAGAGATACAAAAGAAAAGACCAAATCACATCAATAATTATTGTATTATGTACACGACTTTCCACATTTCTCGTACAAATACAATAACCTATCAGTTAACTCTACAAAATTCAGATTGCAATTATCCATCTGAATATGCAAAGTGTAAAAGAGTCTCTCTCCTTTAGACCTCGAAGATGAAGCATCCATAAGAACAAACCCATCTTCTTCTATTCCACTCAGTAAATTTCCAAACGAACACTTTTCAGTCTGTAACGATGAAATTTGGACCATTGCTTCTGTCTCACCGAGCCTAGTCGCAGATACAGTTGATGCATAACTTGTGCCTCCTTTCTCTGGATTACCGTTTTGGTCAGTGTAAACCAGATCTTTTTGACCTGAGATTTGGAAGGAGAGCTCATCTTTCTTCTTTATGAGCTGCTTGACTTGCTCTTGCAACTCTGGTATGTACTTCAATGCATGTGAAACCGTTGCGGAAACACTTAACTTCTTCTGCAAGAAATATTCAAAATTTCATTTCTCTTATATAACTATGGGACACAACGATTGTGTTTTCTCGTTGCGCTTAAAAAACATGTATCACACTGTTTTCATCAAAATTAAAGTTGCAAAAGTAAATTAATAATAAGTTTCAGGAACACATTTGATAAAAGAAAAAACTTATCGCTTTTTTTTTTTACTTTCTTTTTGTAGTAAGACAACTTATTAGAATTAGTGATTACCGATTGTTCGGTAGCTGGAAGACAAGAACGAAGAGATGAGAACATAGCGTTGATCTTCTTGCGACGATCACGCTCGCTTGCATTGTGATTAAGCTTCTTCATAACGACAGGATTCTTTACTTCTAAAATTCCATGTCTCTGTGACGACACATTCTGATGAGCCACCTCCAAGTCCGGCAACGAAAAATCAAGAAACGTGTTGGTTATGTCGTCGTTGAAATATAAGCTCTGGTCTCCACAAGGCCAGTCGAAATTGGGAAATACTGGAGGGACAAGTGCACACATTTTGGGTTTCGAGTTTGAAGAATATGTTTTTTTCTCTAGAAGCTGTTTCGGTTGGGATTATGCTGGTTTGTTAGTTGGAGTATATATATGGGATTATGACGTCATGTCTCATTCATTTATATTTGGATACAAGCATAATAAAAAATACAGAAAAAATTATCTGGTGTATAAATATATAATAAAATATGAATGATATATATATTAAAGAAGATATATGATATATAAGTTAAAATAATACTATAGGGCGAAATGTATAGGTCACGAGTCGACATGCGTTGTCACGTGGTTAAGTATTTTCTCCCCAAGCGGGAGCATGTTCCACGGATCACCTGTTGAGACATCCTACAGGCATGTACAACTCTCTAATAAGTACTGTGATATAATCTAAAGTTTTCTGTGGAGCGATGTAACTCTAATAATATCGTTCTCAAAAAAAGTTATGGCATTACAATCAACACGTGGTAATGCGAAAACAAAAAACTACAAACGATAAAAAAAAACTCTAAATATTCTCTTAAAGTGATCGAATATAAATTTGAATTAGAACTATGTATGTTTTTCATAACTATAACACCGAGGAGCACACGAGGGATACACGGGTTTGGTAGACGTGGATCTGTCGACAGGAACGTGCAAAGTACGTGTAATACTTTTAGTATTAGGCTTTTCTCCTAATATCAAGAAGCATCTTTATGCAATTAGCTAGTAAGCATGTACGTAAGCATTTCCCTTTATTATATTTAGCAAGTGTAGATTCCCTATTTTAAACTTATTAACTAAATTTTTTGTAGTGCAGTGGCTAACGTTTTATATATATATATAGGATTTTTAACATAAAACCCCCTCAACTAAGTTTGTTTTGGGTAAAAACCCCTAAACTAAGTATTTAAAGAAAAAACCCCCAAACTAACTTTATTTACTGAATTAAACTCTCGCCGGTCATAATTACCACTACTACCGGTAAATCTTTAGTTTAGGGGTTTTATCATTATACATAAAATCAATAAAATTCAAAATATAATAACATTATCTAAAAATTTGTAATTTTAATTCTCAAAACTAGCATTTAAAAAAAAATTCTGTGACTATATGAGTCTGATTTTTTATTCTTTTAAAATCAAAATTATATATGTATCAATTTAAAATGTAAAAACCAAGAAAATATAAGAAAAAATTATCTAACGATTTACCTGTAATAAAAATTATCAAAATTTCTAAATATAAAAACAAGAAAACAGAATAAAAATTATATCTTATTTAATATGTAATAATAAATCTTTAGATGATTTTTATTATATTTTGGTGTTTTCAAATTTTAATCTATATATATATATATAATTTTGATGTTAAAACAAACCAAAATCATATATTTACAGAAAGTTTGAAAAATGCTAATTTTAAAAATTTAAGTTACTAAATTTTAGATAATGTTATAATTTTTTTTAAAAAAAATTTAATGATAAAAACCCTTTAACTATGTTTAATATGGGGGTTTACTTGTTAGTTTGGGGGGGTTTTTACCCAAAAAAACTTAGTTAAGGTATTTTAGAGTTAAAAATCCATTTTACAAGGATAAGAAATCACTCATATATTTACAGAAATTTTTAAAATGCTAATTCTGAAAATTAAAATTACGAATTTTTAGATAATGTTATTATATTTTGATTTTTTTTTCTTTTTTTTTGAATTTTTATGTTTAATGATAAAACCCCTAAACTAAATATTTACCGGTAGTATTGGTAATTATGACCGGCGAAGGTTTAATTCACTAAATAAAGTTAGTTTGGGGGGGTTTTTCATTAAATACTTAGTTTAGGGTTTTTTACCCAAAACAAACTTAGTTGAGGGGTTTTTATGTTAAAAATCCATATATATATATACTTTTAAAACTTATGTGGCATAAGAATATTAGTGTAAAGGTCAACTCCGGTCATCTCGGCTAACAGAAGACGGTCGATATTTGAGATTTCGTCACTAGTTTTAGGTCCAACAAATCAAAAAACATAATGGGTTTATTAAAAACGATGGGCCCTAAATAATTGTTTTAAGTGTTTTAACTGACGATGGGCTCTAAATAATTTAAGGATATTCAGAACAGCATTCATATCTCTAGATTAGAGCACCTTTAACCCAAAATCAAAAAGAGGAATGCTTAAATTTTATTTTTTTATTAAAAAAAGAGAAAAAAATAAAAGTGACCAGTTGTAGACCGCCACATATGAGTGAGGCCTGCGAAACAGAGCAAACACTCTACAACTCCAACGCTTGTTTTGGACTCTGCAACACCGACACTTGTTACTTTTGGGGAAAAAAGTTGATAAGCAACCCCCTAAGCACCAGGGTTAAAGGTGCCCTTATGCAAGGATTAACTAACACTGACACATAGTAATATTGAAGCTTTTGAGAGGAAAGTTTGGCGGTGACGTTTGGTGTTGTTCATGCATTACATTGTCGAGGTAAAGTTTGCAAAAAACGCGTAACGTAGATTGCTAGTGCTCTTAAACTCTAAAGAGATTTGAGCAAGCCTGAGAGATTGGTTCACCGTTTACCTCTATAAACCAAGTAATTCACTTCCCTAGAGCCAAGTGTTACAGCCTGCGCGCGTCACTAGCACTGCCTCATTCATCGTTCATACGGTCATTAACACACGTGAAATGCATCCTGGATTCATCACAAGCTATCAAAAGATGTTTGGGTTTTGTTTCTCCGCTTCAACTTTCAAAGCAAATAACCAAAAACCTTACACACTCCCTCCCAAAAAAATATCAGTCTGTTACACACTCATGTTACTTCTGCTGAAACTGCTAAAATTAGTGGGGTACGTACCTCTAATTATATTATTGTTAAATATACTTTTAGTGTAACTTTTCTATATTTAGATTATTGGTCTATATATGTAGAAAATAGAAATAACAATGTTCTTGGAAATTAATTAATAACTTTTGCATTCCCTTAATCTCCGAATTTCCATTATTCTAGATCCACAAACTCCATATTTCCATTCTTCTTCTTGATCACCAGTGATCTTCCAAATTTTTATATTTTAAGATAGAAACCAATTACACCCAATAATTTTCATTGTCTTTCTTCACCGGGCAACTTTTTTCTAGCTCTCTTAAGATGGTCCGTTTCTTCTATTAGCAAACCTATTGAGAAAAATATAAATGCATATATATAAATTCATTGAAGTATTTTTATTTTAGGTTATTTTTTATGAGACAGCTAAAGCTTTCGTTTTATTTCATTGTTCGTGTTTGTAGTCGTCGAAGATTGTTTTCAAGTATCGGGGGTTTGACGAAGAAATCAGGCGGAAAGTACTTCGAAGTCTGTCTCATCGTACAGGTACACCAATACATCCCAATAAACGGCCTTGCACCGTTGAGATATTTCGACTAAACTGGATTAACTGAACCAAGTTAAACCATGTGTAATATATATATATACTTTTAGTTAGGTTTTCAACTGTGAACTATGTGTAATAATGTTTTCTTCTTTGTTATAGGATATGAGTATGCAGATTTTAATTTAGACCTAGACGTACTAGTGGTGACGGGGCAAAACATGAATCGATGTAAAATCCTGAAGAAATTGAAGAAGATTTTTTACTCTATCGACATCCTTCAAACGTTGTGTGTTCCCCCTTACTAGTATGGTTTTTAATGCAAGTTCTTGATATTTTGAAATTAGTGTTGTTTTTTTGTTTGCTTATTCTAATTATAACACTTGGCTTTTTAATAATGGTGTGTTTTTGTTATATTTTCCGTTTTGTGTCAGTTCATTATTTTATTTTTTGACAAATGCTTCCAAGTTTAAACTAAAAAAGTTATAACATTGAAAGTTATGGTGTCATGTCTTATGTTTACAATCTCTCCGAGACCTAAAGTCAGTTTTTGATATCTTAACTAAGAAAATAAAAATATTACAGTAAAAGTAATTTGAATTCTAGGCACAAAAACATCCCTTTATATTATCACTAGACTTTTTAGTGGTTTTTTCAAAAGAGAAATATTTATTTATTCATAGCAAATTAAATTATAGTGATTTTACCAAAAGAGAAAGGATTTGATTTACGATTCTGTGATTGCTTTTGGAATGTATAGATGGACGTTATCCTTTCGAATGGTGGGCTTTCAAGTCTGAGAGTTAGACTTTGTGACAATTGTTTTGACGTGTAAACACCAGGGGTCATGTACAGAGCATGTCATTTACACATGGAACTACATAGATGAGTTTCAACATTCAACTACTGCCATGGGTTTTTGGCCAGAAGCAAGAGCGGGTATTTGATATATATGCAGTTTTGTCTAGTACAGTCCGATTGTTTCTACTCAGCTCTTTTGTAATCGACTGGGATTTATCTCTAATAATTTTTCTTTTTTAAAATCACATATCTAGCTAGTATTATCATAGATGAACTTATAATACCAAATATTAATCGAAGGAAATCAATCAGAACGAATTTAATGTATTATTGCTTTTACTTATGTTTACATTTTCTATCAAGTGTAAAACGTTTGTGCCCATTAAATATGTCATTATCTTCCCTCACTCACTCGACATAATTGACCGGTCTCTTGTCGCCATGTTTTGCAGCCCGACTATAAATAAGTGTTCATATACTCTTTCACTACCAAAAACATCTTTTTTTCTCACAACAAACCGAACAAGCTCAAGTAACGAAATCAAAGCATGGGAAGCCTCAAGTCTCTGATTATTTTGGCTTTGCTTTTTACCCTCTCTCTCGCTGTTTTTGCCGACACATCCAACGATGCTTCTACACATGGTATACAACTCTATATTTATCATTCCCTTTTATACTTTCACATAACTGATAGATGATCGAATTTTTCTACATAGCCTATCGTAAATAACATATAATCACACGTGCAGCTAAAGATGAAGTGAAGCCAAGTAAAGCGACCGATACCATAGAGCCACAACAACCTCAGGCTGCGGAGGCCGAGACCAAGGCCAACGATGTAGTTGTAGAGCCCCAGCAAAGGTGGTTTGGTGGTTGCAGGTTCGGATGTTGCGGTGGCTGGACGTTTGGACGGTGCAACTACTGTTGTCGTAGTCCACAAGCCGAGACCGTGGAAACAGAAGCTGTTGAGGCCAACGTTGTTGAACCTCAACAGCGGCGCGGTGGTGGCTGTAGATACGGATGTTGCGGTGGCTGGATGTTTGGACGGTGCAACTACTGTTGTCGTAGTCCACAAGCCGAAACCGTGGAAACAGAAGCTGTTGAGGCCAATGTTGTTGAACCTCAGCAGAGGCGTGGTGGTGGCTGTAGATATGGTTGTTGCGGATCCTGGCGTTATGGACGGTGCAACTACTGTTGTCGCAGTCCACAAGCAGAGGAGACCGTGGAAACCGAAGCTGTTGATACCAACGTTGTTGAACCTGATCAACGGCGGGGCCGTGGCGGCTGTAGATACGGATGCTGCGGATACTGGCGTTATGGACGGTGCAGCTACTGTTGCCGAAGTGCTCAAGCCGCAGAGGCTGAAAAGGAAGAAGCTAAGCCATGAAGGGTGTGTAACACAAACTCTATGTTTGTATGCATGGTTTACACTGTTTTGTACGTACGTCAAAAATGTTGTTATGAGGTCTATAGCTCAATAAGAAAAACGTCGTAGGTTCACATGATATGTATTTTGTTATGTAGTGTTTTCCTCGTGAAGATTGTAATAAAAACTACTGTTTAAATTTTGAATCGTTGATCGAAATATTTTAAATTATAATAATGAAGAAGCATGTAGCTAGGTCAAAGAAAACCGCATAGGTTTGTATAATATGGCATCACATAGTTTTGTGCATGCTTTATGAAGACTTGACATATTAAATTGAATTAAATTAAATCAAATCGCTAGTTTGGAATTTTTCATCAGTAATGTATGATTGATGATAAAATTTGTTTTTTAGATTTCATACACTCCAGCGAAAGGAGTATTCACTGATCCAACCCATAGAGTTCCATCACGCTCCTCCACCTCACTTATGGAGATCCACTTATTTCCATTTGTACCCTCAAAAACCTCCGATATTAGTCCACTATCTTCGTTCAACCTCACGGCCATCCCATTCCCTTTGTACTTGGCCCAATACGAGTGAACTTTCATCCAGTCCACCGGCAAGCCCAAGGCGGCGCGGCCTAGCCACGCGTTTGACATGGCTAACTCTGTCAGCTTTGAGTGTTTTGTATTCAGGCCTACCCAAAATCCACCACGTGGACTCCTCTTTATGTTGTCAGGGAACCCAGGGAGCCCCTCCGCGAAAATATCGTACTTATCGTGAGATTTAGAAACCGACGTGTCGTTGAGCCAGTAACGTAGGATTCGAGATGTGGCAGTCTCGGACACAAGAAGGTAATCACCGTTTTGGCTAAGGACGACGCCGTTTGCGAACGCAAGGTTGCTTAGAAGAGTTGTCACTTGGTTTGTATTTGGGTCGTATTTCATCAATCTACCGGTTCTGTCCCCACTCATTATTACACCTATATAATTCCTGAAAAACTCTAACATATTTTTTCATAATACATGTGTTACTGCGGTATATGCATAAGGCATGTGTATATTCTAAAAAAAAAAAAAATGTGTATATTCTATTCTATATTAGAATATATTTTTGCAGAGAATAACTTTTGCTTAAGATGAATGATCAAATGTTGCTGAACTTTACCTTCGTTGATAAACCGAACTACTATCGGTGAAGTAGACAACACCCGTCTGTTGATCTATGTCCACGCTGTTGGTAAACCCAAGGCTAATGGACTCATCCAGCTGACGTGTTAACACTTGGTTGGCTAAACCACCTTCTCGACCAACTTTAAGAAGGCCCATGTAAGCATCGGCAATATATAGATCACCAGTGGATTTTTCAAAGGCCAGGCCCAATGGTCGACCACACACGTGTTCTGTTCGTTGGTGCTCGTGCGGTCCCTCACAACCTTCTCTGCATATAATTAAAACAGAAATATCAAAAACTCTCCATCCAAGTGTGAAGGGGCTCTGATTAAGTGTAAACAATGAACAGTAAAATACCATCCTAAGTAATTATTTTTCATTATTTTTTATACTAGGGCTAACATCAAGCTGAATTTAGTGAGTCATGATTGTTATTCCATCCCTTTGCTTAGTGGTATATATTGAATAGAGGTATTGTTATACGGAAATATATTGTAATCTTTCTGAAATGTGTAAAAAATATAACATTTTTAATACAAATCTGGACCACTAAAAACTCAATATCACATATCCCTTCTTGGTTGTGTACTCATGACTCCTAGTAAATAAAAAAGAATGCAGCCTTTTTTATTTTGTCACTCAACTCAATTCTTTAGCTGTCAGCATATCACAACACTCAGCTTTAGGAGTAGCAACGCTTAAAATATCAAAAGAAATTATAGAAGGAATTAACTTTTTTTTTTGGGTGTACATGTTAAGAAGCTAGCAATTAAGTTGCATAGTCGAACGTGCTTATATATAATGCACATGCAAATTGAATTCCAAAATCCTTCAAAATGGGAACTTCACATGCACGCCCAAATAACAAATTTTATCAAGAAAGTTAAACTTGCAACTCAAAACAACCAAGTTGATCACGTGAAAACAGAAGTACATATGCAGAAACAAAAGATAAAGAAGTACCTTTCATTTGGTCAGGAACTCATAACTAATTGTATTATATATATATATATATATATATNCAAAATCCTTCAAAATGGGAACTTCACATGCACGCCCAAATAACAAATTTTATCAAGAAAGTTAAACTTGCAACTCAAAACAACCAAGTTGATCACGTGAAAACAGAAGTACATATGCAGAAACAAAAGATAAAGAAGTACCTTTCATTTGGTCAGGAACTCATAACTAATTGTATTATATATATATATATATATATATTTGGAACACAACTAATAATTGTATTATATAAATAATTTATTTTATTCAAAAGATTATGTTATACATTGATGGTATTTCAAAGAAGATAATTTCACTATTCTGATAATTAGATTGATAATTTCGGTGGGACAGAAGGAGGTTTGGATACATTTCAAGGATTTTGTTTAAGGTTTTTATGAAAATAAACTCCTAGTAAAAGTAGAAAATGAGAAGGAGAAATTATTGTGTACCTTGTTGGGGTGGTGACGGCGAAATCCATCCAACGACTCTCATTAGCTATCCACTTAACAATTCGACCATCAGATAAACCGGTGTAAGGACCGTCGCCGGAGATATCGAAGGCAAAACTCTCCGGTCCCAAAGCTCCGGTGGTAGGAATCAAATGGAAGTCAGGGAAATGAACAGTCAACGTCGACTCTCCATGTTTTGAACTCTCGCCGGAATAATCGAAGTAGCTTAAGAGAAGGGCAAATGATATCGCCACCACCAGGAAATGTTTCATCGCTCTCCCTTATCTTCCCACCCTAGGCTTGTGTCTTTGTGGTAAGAGTGATGGTTCTCTTATATATAAACTAAGGTGTCAGAAGTAACAAATAGGTTTCTTATACATGTCGAATTCGTGTAAAAAACTCAAAGTAAATTCAATAGATAAATTATTGTACTCTTGGAGTTTGTGGATCATGCATTTGTCATCATGCATTTGTTAGTTCATATGTTATTTTTTTTTTCTGTTTAAACCTTTCTTTCTTATTGCTTTGTTGTGAAAGATACATTTCCTTCTTACTGACTAGACATTCGTGATACCCATTCACCCACCCAAGTTTGTCATGATAGAAGTTTTTTCCGTTTATGGAATGAGATTATAAAGACATCATCAAACAATACATTCTTTCAGTCTGCGTCAATTCGTGTATCAATTAAGCATATATGACAATGAAATTTCCATGATTCATATATAATAAGATATTCTATTCTTAATTTTCTATAAATAAAACATTAAAATTATTTTATTTTTAATGTTTGTGATTTTTTATGCATAGTATACATTTAGATGGTATGATTGCTTACAAAACGCCGGAGATCGAGGGATCACATTTACTTCATTGTATTAAAAGTAGATATATTTTCCGTACTATCTGCATATTCCCCATTGAAATCTGCAGATTTGATGTTTATCTAGTTAGCATCAGGTTTACAAAGTTTGGGTAAACTGTAAATGTTATTCGACAACCAAAACAAATTATATATGGAAAATCGACATTTTCCTTAGACAGAAATTAAACGTTGAATGGGAAGACGTATATTTTAAAACATTTAAAACCAAAGAGAACATAAAAACACAACGATCAGATACCCTACTACCTACATTTTATTTTGTAACATATGATAAATGCTTTTGTTTGATTTTATATGCATAAAGGAAACATAAATTTAAATAATAATTATAATATCTATAAAAAGACAAAGGAGGTTGGAGGAAGTGAATCTGCAGGAGGGGGCACTGGACAGAATAAGCAAAGGCATGCAGCCCTACATAGCAACCGATTCGTTGTGTTGCCTTCTAAGTTCTGGCCATTTTTAAAAAATATTCTGTAATCAAACCCATCCAAACAAACAAAGCCATAAACATCAGTGTCAGTTAAAGGAAATAATCATAAAAAGAATGTGACAACCACATAAATGGAAAGAAGAACAAGAATGTAACCATATCAAGAATGTTGATAAATGAGTGTTCTTTTAGGATTTTGGCTCATTAGACTATATTTTTAAATAACTTTTTAAAAGTGCCATTCTTAAGATTATGCAATTTTTTAGAGAAATTTTTTCGATTGGTATTATGATTTAGAAGTTAGGATAACTAGAATTTTTGTTGATAGATGAGTCTCATTCAGTTCTAATTTTAACTAAACTTCTAAAAAGTGCTATTATGCAAATTTTTTAGAAAAATATTTTAGATTTGGTATTGTGATTTAGAAGTTAGTATAACTAGAATTTGTTTTGGTAGATGAGTGTTCTTTTCGATTTTTTTCTTATTAGTTCTATTTTTGTAAATAAACTTTTAGAAAGTGCTATTTTGAGATTATGGAATTTTTAGAGAAATGTTTTAGATTTGAGATTGTGATTTAGAAATTAGGACAACTAAAATGTTTGTTGATAGATGAGTATTCTTTTATAATTTTTGCTCATTATTTTTTATATAAACTTTTTAAAAATGTTATTTTAAATTATGCAAGTTTTTAGAGAAATATTGTAGACCTGAGATTGTGATTTAGAACTTATGATAACTTATTTTTTGATATATGAGTATTCTTTTAGAATTTTTGCTCCTTAGGTTATATTTTTAAATAAACTTTTAAAAAGTACTATTTTAAGATTATGCAATTATTTAGAGATTTTTTTAGATTGGGGATTGTGATTTAAAACTTAGGATACATAAAAATGTTGTTGATAGATGAGTATTCTTTTACAATTTATGTTCATCCGGTTCTACTTTTAAAAATAAACTTTTAAACAGTATTATTTTTAAGATTATGCAAAATTTTAGAGAAATATTTTAGATTTGGTATTGTGATTTATAAATTAGGATAACTAGAATTTTTGTTGATAGATGAGTGTTCTTTTAGAATTTTTTTTCAACGGGAAGCGATCATCGCCTTGGATAGGACGGTTTTGAATCCACTATACTCTCTGGTCCGATGATGGATGGCCCGACTAAGATGATCAGGACTGTTGTAACTGTCCTAACAACAGCCCATGTCCGAAACTTTCGGCTGGCATTGTTGTGTAGCTGCTAGCTTTACCCTCTCTTCTGAGGAAAGAATGTGTGTTTAAGTGTGAGTTTGGAATGGCTAATTATTAAGTTATATGCATGATTACTAACTATTTGGATGTTTCATGTTTGAGAATACGTGAGAGAGAAGGAATAAATAGATGGTGATGCATGAAAATTGGGGGGGGGGGGAGAATTTCTTATTTTCGAGCCTTTCCGATGCGTACGAGTCAAGTAATACATTTTATTGTGGTGCACTGGTGTGATTGTTGTATCACATTCTTCGTTGACATGTCGATAAATTTTTAAAACCAAGAATTAAAAAACTACCCCCATGACTTTGGATTATTTCACAGATACCTCCTGTATTTTCTATTTAACCAATCGTACCAACAAAAAGGAAAATAAAAGATGAGGCTCGATCAATTTTATATCGATAGTCCAATAATATGTCAAGATCGGCCCAATGAGTCTGGTAAAATATCTGTACAGTACATAAAACCCCAGATGGCTGTCCATTTCTCTTAATCATCGGGCCGATCTAGCAAAGTGATATTTACTTATTAATAAAACAAATTATAAAAATTGGATTCACATATGTACCTGTTTTTTTCTCTGCAATAGTTTGGCAAGATATGATTTGTATTGCTATCCCCTAATCCACCAGATTAGGTAGTACACTGATACAATAACATCATTCTACACCAGCAAAAATAAAGATATAATATATATAATTGTGGCGTTAGAAAGCAGTTTAATGTGAGCTGTATAATCATAAAGGAGTTTACATAATGATGCGTACCATACCATAAAATATAAAGATTTGGTGTGTAAACCTTGGCTTTGTTTTCTATAGGAGGGGGACTATCCAGTTGTGTCCTAACATTGCTTGTAAGGGTATTTCATTTTTAATTTAGTACGTATCTTATTTTTTTACGGATTAAGGACTAATGATGAAACTGCTTAGGGGATAAGAAACATAACCATCTACATTTCAACTTAATAAAATTTCACATGAGATTAACTTGATTATCTCATACCTACTTACACCCAAAAGTGTCAGCATGTAACTCAAAGATCGATCACAAGCAAACGAAGTTATTGCAATATTGCATTGAACTACTTTATCATGTGGTCAAACTGAGATGGATATATAGTTCATTTGAATATGAGGAAAGATAATTCTTTTTTTTTGATCAAAGAGGAAAGAAAATTCATTTATGGACTCTATTTCCGCTTGAAAATTAATCAGGAATTTTCCATATGTCCGAGATACTCCACGTTAATCAATAAAAAAAAATTATTGCACTGCAAAAGTTATATAACTCGAGTTGTTTTGTGATTAAAGTCGAAAAGTCGAGCTGTTAATATTCTCAAAGTAGATCTCAACGTCCGGTCCGTATCTTTTAAAATAATGGCCGAAGTTTGGTTCACTGAATTAAGACCGTATATAAGCTCATTTTCTTTTAGAAAAATTAGTTATTAACTTATTATTAATGATATCACCGTGAGCTAACGTGGTTCGACACTAGTTTATACACACCGAAACAAATAACTACATAAACTAATAATAATGTAAGCTTATAATTGGTACATACAGTATTAAGATATTCCGTCAATTCTAAGACCTGTTGGGTACAACCACACGTCTAATCGTAATATGGCACCCATTATTTTCATTTTCTTATTAATTAGGTTATTTTTCTAGAACCATAATTAGGTGATTCTCAGGAACATAGTTTCCGTAAGTTAACATGTTTCACAACTATCATGTTTTTATCCCATAAAAACAAGAAATCTACGATGGTTAAGTGGTTAAAAGAAACAATATCAAGAGTCTTCTCAGTTCTCACTAAACATGTTTTGTCACTATAAATGTTTTAGATGCTAAAATATATCGCGATCCACATATACTGTTTCTTATGTAGAGTTTAATATTTAGGGAGAGTAGATACCATTTGTGTCAAGAAAAAAAAGGAAGAGTAGGTACCATATTGTTAAATACTAATAATAATTAAGATAAATTAGAAAAAAATTAATATGTGTTAAAAATAAAACAAACAAATCAAAGATGGAGGCCACCAGATGCGATCTACCATATCCTCTCTTATGCCACATGCCGACGTCTCTCTAACGTATATAATATCAGTGACATTGACTTTGCATTTATACTAATCTTAAATCTTATACACATGCATATATTTGAGTTGAATATAAAATCATATCAAAATTTGCAAGTCAAATACTAAATATTCGTCGAATTGATTTGAAAATTACACAATAGGTTTCTTTCATACGGTCAAATCATAAAGTTGCAAATTTTCAAAGTAAAGATGGTATGTTCTTATTATATATTCCTTTTCACAAAAAAAAGATGGTATGTTCTTATTATATATTTGTGTAGAACAAGTCAAATAATTACTTTTATTTTGCTTATTACAAGGATTCTACTTTTGTGATAATAAATATTCTTGATAATGTTTTTATCGTCGTCAACTGATGAACTCATGATAAAGACAGAAATATTCGACCAAGTTAAATCGGTTCTTACAATCTTTTATTTTTACTGCTAAATGTATGTATCGGCTGATTTACATCCACTTAATATTTTTCACTCACCCCACTAACTGGTGTTCTTCTTCTTCTTCTTCAAACTTGTAGGGTCAAAAGTTGTGATGATTAAATTATGAATGTGTTAAAGAGGAGGGTCCTCTACCATCAAAGATACATGGATGGTTGTGCTGAAGTTTAAAGAGACAAGATCTCAATCGAAGATCTATTCGACTATACATATATCTTTAGGTTTATTGAGATTCAAAGCATGTCTACCCGACACATCGTGCATAACAATTTTATGATCTCTCCATTCATCAAATCGTTTTTAGTCAACGCCACGATCTTTTGACTCTTGCGTCTCATTCTCTTTGNATGGATGGTTGTGCTGAAGTTTAAAGAGACAAGATCTCAATCGAAGATCTATTCGACTATACATATATCTTTAGGTTTATTGAGATTCAAAGCATGTCTACCCGACACATCGTGCATAACAATTTTATGATCTCTCCATTCATCAAATCGTTTTTAGTCAACGCCACGATCTTTTGACTCTTGCGTCTCATTCTCTTTGATTACTAGATTGGATGTATATACATACATTTATATTATTAATATAATTTTGTCTCCGTCTAGTTGATCTTCAAGGTAGAAATACAGTCTGAAAGACTAAAAAATCTCTTCTATTTATTTAGATTGTTTTAGCTACGATTTGCTGATTACCCTGTAACCTAGGCGCTTCTCCAGTGTATCCGAATCGTTGTTTGTTCATGTCTCCTTTGTGGGATTTAAAATGAAATTTAAGTTAATGAAAAAAGAAAAGACTATTATAAAATCAAGTGGGAATTTTGTATTTCTTGATAAATAGTTAGAAAGAGATTGTTTTGGCCGTGCAATTCATATTCCAAATATGTCACTGTGTTACGAAAAACAAGTTGTCTTCATCCATTGCAAGTATAGACTAGAATAAACTAAAATGATTCCATTCATTCAAATAGATAAGGTAAAATTTCATTGATGTTGACATTCGATTCAGCCACTTTTCATAAAAGTGGTCATATAGTAATTCTTTATCACATAACTTATAGTAGGTAATCAAAACGGCATGATTTATTACATATATGTAGTTGTATGAGTAAAACTGTTCTATATTAGCTTAAGAGATTAATATGAGGCGACCAAATTTTTATTTTTGAAACCAGTAGGAATCTTATGTCATTGCCAATAGTCTGTCAACAAACAAAATTAAAAAGTTTATTTTAAAAAAGTGACAAGAGAAGATTGGAAAGGCCAAAAAGGGGGGAAGTGTTGAAATGAGAAGGACTATATGGAACCCACTAGAGCAATAAGAGGGAATGGTAATTTGAAGGGACCTCTTCATGTGTCTACCATACTTATAAGATACGTGTCGTGCGAAAAAGATGATGATGATTGATAAATGGTGATGATGGGCATGACTATGGGGAGGCAAATCTATGGCAGAGAATCAAGTGAACATTGCCATGTCTTTGCCACTACTACATAACCCAACGGCTAATAGTTTCCTATTCTTTTGCCGACGATTCTTACTGCCAAGAATACGATAAGTGAATGTATTATAACCTCATTTAAATTTGGAAGTGAACGTGTATAAATTATAGACAAAAAAATAAACCTCAAACGCACTATTATTATATTTTAATTTTGAAGTGTATGTATATAAATTATAGACAACAAAAAAAACACTCAAACACATCTTATTATTATTCTTTTGCCAGCCTTCTAAAAGTCTAAAACAACTAAACTATCTATGGGCGTTGTTAATATAACAATGCATGTGGTTGTGGTAGTATACATATTAATCAAATCACTCATCTTCTTATATTAATCCTTTAAAATCTTCATGTAGATTTCTTTTCATTATTTTTATCCATTAACCAAAGTTTCTTTATTTCCTTCCTCGTTGTCTTCTTCGAACATTACTTTAATCCCTCCAAACTTGCTTAGTCCGTAACTCAAAGCTAGATCCAAACTTTAGCTCTCTCTCTCTCTCTCATATTATCTCGCCTCTATTTCTAAGCTCATTGAGAAGGCTCAACATTTCCAGAAAACAAAAACAATAACATTGCAAAATGGGTATGTTAACAGAGTCAAAGTTCCATGTATTGGCTGTTGATGATAGTCTCTTTGATCGTAAAATGATAGAGAGATTGCTGCAAAAGTCTTCTTGTCAAGGTAAACAGAACAAAAGCCAAAATCTTTTAGCTCTGTTCTTGGAGAAACAAAGAAAAGATTCTTACAAAAGCTTTTGTGTTCGTATGTTTGCAGTAACTACAGTTGATTCAGGCTCCAAAGCTCTAGAGTTTCTGGGTTTGAAAGAAACTAACGGCCCAAATGCACTCGAAACCCATCAGGTTCAGTTTTTTTTCATCATCTTCCATTTGGGTTTTGTTCAAAATCTACAACCTTCTTGTATTTTGTTTTTGTTTTTGAATGTTTATTGGTTTGTGGATTTAAGCAGGAAGTTGAAATCAATCTCATAATCACAGATTACTGTATGCCTGGTATGACTGGTTATGATCTGCTCAAGAAAGTTAAGGAATCAGCAGCATTTAGAAGCATTCCTGTAGTAATAATGTCATCAGAGAATGTTCCTGCTAGAATCTCCAGGTAAAAACTCTGTTTCCTTTTGATTTGTGCATAGGTATTAGTATTACTTGAATAGCAAGTCTTTAGATTTAGACCTAAAAAAAACTTTAGTTATGTAGTTTTCTTGCAATGAATATGGTTTAAAATGTCCTGAAAATATGAACCACAGATGTTTGGAAGAAGGAGCTGAAGAGTTTTTCTTGAAACCAGTAAAATTGGCTGATGTTACCAAGTTGAAACCTCATATGATGAAAACCAAGTTGAAGAAAGAAGTTGAGAAACCATCAGAAGAAGAGCATGTAGCTTTGCAAAAACCGGAAGAATCATTGGTGGTTGAAATCTTGCCTCTGAATCAAGAACTTGAGTCTGAACAACAAGAACCAATGTTGAGTAGTGGTAATAAGAGAAAAGCATTAGAAGAAGTGATATCTACTGAACGAACACGTCCTAAATACAATGATATCAAAAGCTTGGTCTGACCCGTTCGGTGTCCACAAAACTTTGGTTCAGAGTTTCTTTCCATAGATTCTTTGTAGGAAGGCTTCTTCTGGTAAATACAGAGAGAATGAAGATGGGAGATATATGTAGATGATGATGATAATGGTAACAGTTGTTACTTATTATCATTGTATGAAAACATCAGCGAATTCTCAGTTTTGATACGTGTTAGTTTTTCTGGTATAAAACAATCTCAAGAGTAAATAAATCTATTTGTTTATCCAAGTTTTGTTTGAGTTCTTGTTTGTTTTCGAGAAAAAGAAAAGCTCTATAAGACAATAAGGTGATGGGATGTTGGATCGATCTCACTGGACCGGGTTCGGTTGGGCATTATTGGGCCTGCCCATTGTTGGGAGTTGAGGCATGGGGGATAATGGGCCTTCGCCTTCTGAGCCCACTATATCTAAAATTGCTAAATACACTCAAAACATCAAAATAGTTATTTACAATCCAAATATGCAAATCAAATTAATTTATATGCTAATTTTAGTTATTTTGACTTATGTTATTAAATTATTTGTAATATATAATTTTGTTTATATATTTTTAGAAAATTATATATTTTTAGAAATTTAAAGTATATAATCAATTTTAAATTTTTTAAAATAATTTAAATGGATTATCCGAATCTGAACCGAATTCAAACCGAAATTTAGAAATATTCGAATGGAGATAAAATTTGTAAACCCGAAAATTCAAAACCCGAATAGATCCGAACCGAATTCGATTGGATATCCGAACATCCACCCCTAAAAAAAACACCCTAAACTCTTTTGTGCTCGTTAGAGGACAATTAATCAAAGCTGAACACAATCTAATGTTTAGATTCAAAAAGAAAGTGTTTTGGCTTTGAAAAAATATAGCCGTTACGGGTTGCAGAAAAATAAATAATAATATAGCATTATAGCCGTTACGTTACGTGCCAGCAAGCTGCTCTATAAATATACAACACATCAGAACTCAAACACAACTTTTCCGACAAACAAACCAAAACCCATTATCCCTTCCTTCGTCTCTCAATAATATCATGTCTGCTTATGTCAAAATACAAATCTCCAACCCTCCTTCCACTAAAACTCTCTCTCTCTCTCTCTCTCTCTCTCTTTAATCTTTCAATACCGTTTCTGTGCAATGGTGAACCACCAGAAAAGTGAAGAAGTGCTTCGGAGCCTAATGACCAAACCGGTTTCCAAAAAACGATCAAAACCGATGGTCTCAAATTCCCTGTCGGGAGAAGCACTCGTTGACTCGGTGGTGGAGCTCCAGTTTACATGGCCGCCGTCTCCAATCTCCTCCGAAGTCTCTCTCTCTCGATTCAGATCTTATTTTGTTTAGAGCTATATTGAATATCATTGTCTGATTTTTAAAATCTATGTTTCAGATGTTTGAGCTTGCTCCAAAGACAACAAGATGTCGACTATCATGCCCGTCTTCTAATGCGATTAGGAATGAAGATTTGGGTTAAGCTTGTACCAAATTTGTCGTTTTGTAATTTTTTTTTATTTTTTTGAGAGGGAGAGAGAGAGGGCAGAGAGATAGAGAGAGGGAGAGGGGAGGGAGTGGGCAGAGAGGGAGGGAGAGAGAGAGAGAGAGGGAGCGCGGCTCGGGGAGCGCGGCTCGGGGAGCGCGGCTCGGGGAGCGCGGCTCGGGGAGCGCGGCTCGGGGAGCGCGGCTCGGGGAGCGCGGCTCGGGGAGCGCGGCTCGGGGAGCGCGGCTCGGGGAGCGCGGCTCGGGGAGCGCGGCTCGGGGAGCGCGGCTCGGGGAGCGCGGCTCGGGGAGCGCGGCTCGGG